TCTGGGGCCATCTTCTGCTGCTTTCCCAGGCACATTAGGAGCGGGCTGGACTGGAAGAAGAGCAGCCCACCCTCCAACCGCTGCCCACATGGAATGCCTGTGTCACACACAGTGGCTTAACCCACTGTGCACGGTGCTGGCCCATATAGGGCATTCTTGCAAAACACAAACTTGTAGTGGTTTCCAGAGGTTGGGAGGGGAGGAGGGCAGCCAGAGCGTGGCTGAGGAGTGTGCGGGTGATGGAGCTGGCTGTGTGTGGCAGCTGCTGGTTACAGCTCAGACAAGCCTAAAGCGACGGAGGTGACTATCTTGTGCTGGGATTTTTCTTCTATCTCGTCGTGTGGGGAGGCTATCGGCCTCACTGCTGGGAGAGCCGGGTCAGGGCCCACCTCCACTCCTGCTGGTGTGGCCCCGGGAGGCAGCACTGACAGCTGCACTACCTGGATTCTGCCACTCCCGCGGGAGACCTGGATGCACTTCCTGGCTCCTGGCCTCAGCCCTGGCCCAGCTCCTGCCGTGCAGGCCCTCGTCTGCCTGGCAAGTACACAAAGGATCTCTAAGACATAGAAGGCAGGTGCCCGTGCTGCAGCGGCCCCGCCCAGGGCAACACTGGGGTCCCCAGCAGCAGCACGTGACCTCAGGTGGCTGATCTCCCATCAGCCTGCCGGCTCCTCCCAAGCTCAGGGCACAGAGGGCTCCGCTCAGCGCCCCAGGGAGAGCCGTGTTCCTGGAGGGAACTCAGGGTCACAGACACCCGTGGGTCGGCCTGACCAGTGCCTGGGTGGGGTGGCCCGAGGGCGGGCAGCGGCCCCTGCTGCTCTGGTTGTCCCCATTTTGTGACTCTGGGAGGATGAGGACAGCGCAGCACGGCCATGCCGGGATGACCCCTGGGACGGCAGGGCCCCTATCTCCCCTGGACCCAGTGGAGAGACTGCGGCCAACGCCCCTGGAAGGCCCAGCAAGAGTGGTAGCCCCTCACCCGCCTCCCCCACCAGGCCCTGACCTCCCTCTGTCATTGCTCCAGATAAGAGACCCCACCCCCACCGCCCCTTCCCCTCTTCCCCTCTTCCCAGAAGAGCCAGGGCCTGGCTGGACTCTGCTCCCCGTATATAAGGGAGCCTGCGGGCTGAGCACCACCACACCCAGTGCTCAGCACCTCCAGCCCCTGTGCAGCAGCCCAGCCCCGGCCTCACCATGTCTCTGACCAAGAGCGAGAGGACCATCATCATGTCCCTCTGGGACAAGGTCTCCTCCCAGTCTGAGGCCATCGGCACTGAGGCCCTGGAGAGGTAGGTGCCCCATGGGTCGCAGCCTGAGTGTCCAGACCAGGGACGGGGAGAGGTCAGGAGGAGGGACGGTGACGCAGTGGCCAGTCTTCCTGCTCACAGCCTCCACCAGCAGCTGGGGACTGAGTGACAGGAACAGGGGAGCAGGGGCTGGGCTGGGCCGCAGTCCCTGTCTGAAATGCCCGTGTGCGCTCCCTGTGGACTGCACGCTGGGTTTTGCCTTGCAAACACTGCGTGAAAGTGGGCTTCTCCTGACTGCTGGGTGTGGGGCGCCCGCCCCCAGGCTCTTCCTCAGCTTCCCGCAGACCAAGACCTACTTCCCGCACTTCGACCTGCACGCGGGCTCTGCGCAGCTGCGCGCTCACGGCGCCAAGGTGGCGGCCGCGCTGGGCGACGCGGTCAAGAACATCGACAACTTGGCCGGCGGGCTGTCCAAGCTGAGCGAGCTGCACGCCTACGTGTTGCGTGTGGACCCGGTCAACTTCAGGGTGAGTGCAGAGCGCGGGCGACTGGGTGGGACGGGGCCGGGTGGGCAGGGCTGGGCGCGAGGTCCTGCCTGGGGTAGGAGTTGGGGTCCGGAGCGGCCCACGGCGGCCACCCCTGCCTGTCCCTGACCGCCCCCTGCCGCACAGCTCCTGTCCCACTGCCTGCTGGTCACCCTGGCCGTGCACCTGCCCGCGGACTTCACCGCCGAGTCCCACGCCGCCTGGGACAAGTTCCTGTGCCAAGTGTCCGCCATCCTGACTGAGAAGTACCGCTGAGAGCGCTCCGCACCCCTGGACACCCCCGCCCCGTACCTCTGAACCCCCCGGGCCCTCCCTCCACTCCCCAATAAACTCATGTGGACGGACGCGCTGTGTCCTGTATTCCTTGTGCTGGGGGGAAGGGGGCAGAAACTGTGCCCTGGGGGCTGGGTGGGTGTCCCCAGTGAGCCTTCCATGCACTGAGTCAGGAGCCTGGCACCCTGTCACCCGTGACCCCAGTGTCTGAACTGGGTTCCAGCTGCTCCCGCCGTCCCAGGGGCATCCCCGAGACCTTGGAGAGTGGGAGCAGCTCTGGAGCAGCTGTGGGGCAGGGTGGGCAGGGGAGGAGGCCCCAGACTTCCTCAGGGGGAAAGGTGTCCTGGGGCCAGCACCCTCCTTTGAAATATGGCCAACTACATCACACCCACCAAACGGAAGCAGGCTGTCCTACACAGAGGCAGCCACCAGAAATCCTCTCTCACTGACACCCATCCCCTGGAACCAGGGCCCCGGGTTGGAGAGTTCGTGTCGGGGGCTCACCTCCCCTCCTCTGTTGCACAGCCCCACAGCCAGGCCCTGGGCAGGCCCCTGGTGCCCTGCTTCCTGAGTCCTGCAGGCTGGCCAGGAGCTCACTGTGTGCCCAGGCCTCTGGCATCTCCCTCGTCCACGGCTGGCACCCCTGGAACTGGCCCCTGTCCTAGTGCAGACAGCCCAGACTCCAGCAGCTCTCGCACACCCTCCTGGCTGAATGCCCTGGGAGCGCCATCGGGCGTCCAGCCTGGCCCAACCCCAGCACAAGCCTGGGCACCAGCCCTCGTAGCACTCTGGGCAGTGTCAGGCCCTGGCACCGCTTTCTCTGCCATGGCCTCGGCTGAGCCGTTGGCAGCTCCCTCCCCACCACCAACTCCCCCTGCACAGCCCCATCCATCTTCACTCAATATACAAAAACACTGAAGAGATAACCAGGGGCCCGCGCTGCGGCTCACTAGGCTATCCTCTGCCTGCAGTGCTGGCACCCCGGGTTCTAGTCCCGGCCGGGGCGTTGGATTCTGTCCCGGGTGCCCCTCTTCCATCCCAGCTCTCTGCTGTGGCCCAGGAGTGCAGTGGAGAATGGCCCAGGTCCTGGGGCCCTGCACCCACATGGGAGGCCTGCAGGAGGCATCTGACTGTTGGCTTCGGATCAGCGCAGCACACCGGCCGTAGCGGCCACTTGGGGGTGAACCAACAGAAATGGAAGACCTTTCTCTCTCTCTCTCTCTCACGAACTCTGCCCGTCCAAAAAAGAAAAAAAAAGAAAGAAAGAAACAAAGAAATAACCAGGGGTGGGTGTTGGCACAGTGAGAAGTCACACCCACATCCCTGAGTGCCTGGTCTGGGTCCTGGCTCCATGTGCGTCAGATCCATTTCTTGCACAGTGCACCCTGGGAAGGAGGGAGGTGATGACTCAAGGACTTGGGTTCCTGACAGGCACTGGAGACACTGGCTCCCGGCTTAGGCCAGCACAGCTGGAGCTGTTGCAGCTCTTTGGGAAATGAACCAGTGGGTGGGAGTGCTACCTCCCTTACTCTCTTCTCTCTGCCTTTCAAATACAGAAACATCTTGAGAAGAGAGAGACAGAGACAGGATCAGGCGTTGTGTGGCCCTGATGAAGCACCCTTGGGAGGCCTGCATGTCGTACCAGAGTGCCCGTTGAAGCCCTGCTGCTTCCCTCCCTCAGCTCCCTGGGATGCAGTGGGTGACGACCCCTGCACTTAGGGCCCTGCCACCCAGGTGCGACCCGGATGGAGTTCCTCCTGGTTTGCCCAATTCAGCCCAGTGAAAGCATATGGGGAGTGAAGTAGCAGATGGGAGACCAATCCGAGGACTTCCCTATCTTTGTGTCACTCTGCCTTTCAATTCAGTACATAAATAAATCATTAAGAACCAAACAAAAATGAAGAGGAATTTTTTTCTGATTTATTTGAGAGGCAGAATAATAGAGAGGAAGAGTCAGAGAGACAGAGATCTTCCACCTGCTGGTTCACTCCCCAAAAGGCTGCAATGGCCAGAGCTGGGCCTGTTTGGAGCCAGGAGCCAGGAGCTTCTTCTGGGTCTCCCACATGGGAGGAGGGCTCCAAACACTTGGGCTGTCTTCCACTGCTTTCCCAGGCACATTAGCAGAGAGCTGGACCAGAGCAGAGCAGCAAGGACCAGAACTGGTGCCCCTATGGGATGCCACAGCTGCAGGTGGCAGCTTTACCCACAGGGCAACAGATCCAGCCCCACATCAAATTTTCAAATGAGCACAGCATGGGGTTGCTGTCATGGCGCAGGGCCCTGTGGCTTAGCCGCCTGCACCTGGCATCAAACTGGAGTCCCTGGCAGCTCCACCTCTGACCCAGCTCCATGCTACCAGCCTGGGAAAGGCATGGGGAGGTGGCCCCAAGTGTTTGGGAGACCTGGGTGGAGCCCCTGCTCCTGGCTTCAGCCTGGGTCAGCTAAGGCCTTTGTGGCAGCAGAGCTGTGGGCCGGCAGATGGAGGAGCTCTCTCTTCTGTCTCTGCCTCTCTCTTGGAAGTCTTTCACTAAATGAATAAAATAATTTCAGCAAAACACTTGTACAAATATTCACCAGAAACAATAGAACAGAGCAAATGAGCACACACAAGGAGGCGTCCATGCTTGCAGAGGCACAGGGTGAGCCACAGGGACACACGACGGCACGCCCGTCAGGACAGCCCGGAGGGACACGGTGGCACATTGCAGGCCGTGGCCCGTCCCTTCATGCCGACAGGGCGGGAACAGGGCAGCATCCTAGGATGTCAGAGACACATGGCAGCCCTGCTGTGCACTCCTCTTCCCCTCTTCCCAGAGGAGCCAGGGCCTGGCTGGACTCTGCTCCCCGTATATAAGGGAGCCTGCGGGCTGAGCACCACCACACCCAGTGCTCAGCACCTCCAGCCCCTGTGCAGCAGCCCAGCCCCGGCCTCACCATGTCTCTGACCAAGAGCAAGAGGACCATCATCATGTCCCTCTGGGACAAGGTCTTCTCCCAGTCTGAGGCCATCGGCACTGAGGCCCTGGAGAGGTAGGTGCCCCATGGGTCGCAGCCTGAGTGTCCAGACCAGGGACGGGGAGAGGTCAGGAGGAGGGACGGTGACGCAGTGGCCAGTCTTCCTGCTCACAGCCTCCACCAGCAGCTGGGGACTGAGTGACAGGAACAGGGGAGCAGGGGCTGGGCTGGGCCGCAGTCCCTGTCTGAAATGCCCGTGTGCGCTCCCTGTGGACTGCACGCTGGGTTTTGCCTTGCAAACACTGCGTGAAAGTGGGCTTCTCCTGACTGCTGGGTGTGGGGCGCCCGCCCCCAGGCTCTTCCTCAGCTTCCCGCAGACCAAGACCTACTTCCAGCACTTCAACTTCGCCACCGCTCGGCACAGGTGCGCACTCCGGGTGCCAACGTGGTGACTGCACTGGACGACGCAGTCAAGAACATGGACAACTTGGATGGCGGGCTGTCCATGTGAGCAGACTGCACGCCAATGTGCTGCAGGTGGACCCGGTCAACTTCAGGGTGAGTGCAGAGCGTGGTCTGCTGGGTTGGACATGGCCTTGAGGGTAGGGCTGGGCGCAAGGATTGGGCTCGGTGTGGGTGGGGTATTCAGAGCGGCCCTGGGTGGTTGCCGCCAGCAGATCATGACCACCCCCTGCCACGCAGCTCCTGTCCCACTGCCTGCAGGTCACCCTGGCCAGGTACCTGCCTCAGGACTTCACCGCCGAGACCAAAACTGGCTGGGAGAAGTTCCTGGAGGAAGTGACCTACGTCCTGACCAATAGGTACTGCTTGGAGCGCTCCACACCCCTGGACAGCAGGCAACCCCTCTGTGGTCCTGAACTGCCCGGGCCCTCCCTCCACTCCCCAATAAAGTCATGCCAATGGATGAGCTGTGTCCTGTATTCCTTGTGCTGGGGGGAAGTAGCAGAACCTGTTCTCAGAGGGCTGGGTCGGTGTCTGCAGTGAGGGCCTTCAATGCCAGCCCGGCATCCCGACTCCTGCGACCCTAGGGGCTGCACTGGGGATCCAGCCGCTCCCTCTGTCCCGGGGAGCATCCCCAGGTCCCTCGGAGAGTTCAAGCGGCACAGGCACTCTGAGTCCCGAAGGCTGAAGGCACAGGCTGGTCCCTGGTCTGATAAGGTTGTGCAGGGCTGCAGCGCCATGCATGTGTGATAAGCACCCCCACACACACCCGCACTCAAGTCCCGCTCCAAATCTCCCGCCACCAGAAGCACGCGGGACAGAACAGCGGTGCAGTGGGTCCTGCGGGGTTACAGACCCTCAGCGAGGCCAGAGCAGGAACTCAGTTCAGGAGCAGGGAAGAGCTGTCACGGAGCCTCACGGCTGCCTGCAGGTGCTCCTCCCAGGAGCTACAACGGGAGCAGGGGCCTGGCTTCATTCACCCCGAGGCACTCCCTGTGGTCCGTGTCGTTCCTGGGTCTTTTACTTTAAACATGCTAATATACCTCGTGATGTGACAGAGTCTAGACATTACGGGTTTTTTAAAGGAGATTTATTTATTTGAAAGGCAGAGTTACAGAGAAAGAGGCAGAGACAGAGAACAAGAGATCTTCCATCTGCTGGATGGCTCCTCAAATGGCCACAGTGGCCAGGGCTGGGCCAGACCAGTCAGGCACCAGGAGCTTCTTCCAGACCTCCCCGTGGGTGCAGGGGCCCAAGCACCCAGGCGTCTCCCACTGCAGTCCCAGGAGCATCAGCAGGGCGCTGGGTCAGAAGTGGAGCCCCCGGGGCCTGAACTGCTGCCCACACGGGACTTGGGCTCCACAGGCAGCATCTTTCCCCGCTACGCCACTACTCCGCCCTTAGCCTGAGTCCTAACCGCCTAGCCACACACGGGCCTGAAGGGATGTTGAGGGCAAGCTGAAGGCGGTGCCATGCAGCCTCGTGCTCCCCCTCCCAGCCCTGTCCAGGGGCCCCTCCCCCAATCCGAGTCTCCCCAGGCCCCAGTAAGGAGCTAGGGTACTGGGGCTCCCAGTCTTGGAAACAACTAACACAGTGAGGAGATCCTGGAAGACAGCTCCTGGCTGAGGATCCCAGACTGTGCCGGGGCGGCCAGGCAGATGGCACCCAGCCCTGAAGAGGGGTCCTGGGGCTGGGGTCTTGAGCCTGTTGTGCAGAGCTGCCCCTCCCCCACATACTGAGATCCTGTTCCCAGAGCTGTGAGGGAGGGGCTTAGAGAACTGACCCCACGTTACCTGCAGATATGGGTAAGCTGGGGTCGGGGAGTTCCCCTGCCCCCTGTCCCCTCCCACATCCCCACTCTGCACCCCACCCCTGGTCTTTGAATAAAGCTTGACTGTCAGTGGAGTCTCTGTGTCCCTGAGGTGGGGGAGATGAGCTGGAGGACTCCACGGGCACACACTGACCCCCTCTGCAGCAGCTGTGGGGCAGGGTGGGCAGGGGAGGAGGCCCCAGATTCCTCAGGGGGAAAGGTGTCTTGGGGCCTTTTCTGAACCGTTGGCAGCTCCCTCCCCACCACTAACTCCCCCTGCACAGCCCCATCCATCTTCACTCAATATACAAAAACACTGAAGAAATAACCAGGGGTGGGTGCTGGCACAGTGAGAAGCCACACCCACATCCCTGAGTGCCTGGTCTGGGTCCTGGCTCCTTGCATGTTGGATCCATTTCTTGCACATGCACCCTGGGAAGGAGGGAGGTGATGACTCAAGGACGTGGGTTCCTGACAGCTACCTGAGACAGCAGCTGGAGTTCTGGCTCCTGGTTTTGACCTGGCTGGGCCAGCTTGTGGAACCTGGGAAATGAAGCAGTGATCAGGAGTGCTCTCTCTCCCTCTGCCTTTGAAATCCATAAAGGAAGGATTTTTCCTCTCTTGGAAGCCCCCCTCCATCCACTCTGGCTGGATCTCTTGATTCTAATAAATGTTATGAAATCTCTCTAAAAAATAAACAAATGAAATAAACTACAATCCAACCATGCCTTCCACAGTTTTTAGCTTTTAGTATTTTTAAAAATATTTTATTTATTTAATATTTGAAAGGTGGAGTTCCAGAAGCAGAAAGAGAAAGGGAGAGAGTGAGGGAGGCCTTCTGTGTGCCTGTTCATTCCCCAAATCGCCACAACGGCCAGAGCAAGGCCAACAGGAACCCAGGAGCCCGGAGTTTCTTCCAGGTCTCCCATGTGGGTCAGAGGCCCAAGGACTTGGGGCACCTTCTGCTGCTTTCAGGCCATGGCAGAGAGCTGGTTGGAAGAGGACCAGCAGGGACTTGAACTGGCGCCCATATGGGATGCTAGTACTGCAGGCGGCAGCTTTACCCGCCGGGCCACAGGGCCTCCCCCCCCCCCCCCGCTGGTTTTTTGTGCTACTCTAAGTGGGGAGGGAAAGGCCTTCTGCCCTGTCCCACAGCCCAGCACAGGGCCCAGGCCGGGTTGCCGGGCTCACCACTGGGTCTGTGCTCGGGGAGCCTGGGCCCTCTGCGGCTGCTGCCCCGCGCTCCCCTCCACTGTGCCCACTCCACACTCCTTCCAGGCGGCTCTGCACAGTGCTGTCACAATGCGTGCTCAGTTGTTCCCAGAAGTCATTTGCTCCACCTTTTTGCGGGACAGCTCTTCCTGCACGGGAAGCATCGGCCTGGGAAGGGCTCAAGGCACTCAGGGACTTGCGGCAGGCGGGGAAGGAAAGGGCTCCCACAGGCCTGGAGGGGCCTCAGCCCCCAGACTCCGGGGAGCGCAGGGTTGGGGCAGGACCAGGACCAGGGCAGGTGTGAGAAGGGGTGAGGAGAGCAGGGCTCAGGCGGGCCTGCACAGCTCGGCCTCCTGGACACGGGGTCTTGAGTCGGGGTCCTGAGCCGGGTGGGGGTCGGGGTTGGGGTGAGGGGGACGACCGGCCGGAGGACACCCCTTCAACTCACTCCCCAAGCAAGGGGACGTGAACCGGTGCCCATAGGGGACGCCAGCATTCCAGGCCTCCGGAATGCCACACGTGGGAGTCCTCCCAGCCAGCAAGGGGGCTGTGCCGGCGGGCACCGAGTCCTCGACAGCCCCGTGGTCCGCACAGCTCCGCACGCCCCGTGGGTGCAGCGGGCGGGGAAGAGGCCCCTACAGGCGCAGGCTGGGCGCGGAGCGGGAGCCCCGGCTGCGCCCATTTTGCGCCGCGGTGTTTGTCCCTTCCCGCGGCCGTCGCTGGGTCCCGCGCGGCGGGGCCGGCCGAGCGGCCAGCGCGGGAGGGACTCTGCTTCGCGGAGCGTGGCTCGGCGGGGCCGGGTCCAGGGCAGACGCCGCGAGGGCGCCCCCAGCGGTGGCCGGCCGCCGCGCGCCCCGGCCGCGCCGGCCAATGAGCGGGGCCCCGCTGGGCGTGCCCGCAGCACCTCGGGCTTAAAAGCGCCGCGCAGTCTGGGCTCCGCACACTTCTGGTCCAGTCCGACTGAGAAGGAACCACCATGGTGCTGTCTCCCGCTGACAAGACCAACATCAAGACTGCCTGGGAAAAGATCGGCAGCCACGGTGGCGAGTATGGCGCCGAGGCCGTGGAGAGGTGAGGACCCCCGCCCCGCCCCGCCCCGCCCGAGCCCGCCGGCGCCGCGCCCCGCTCACGGCCTCCTGTCCCCGCAGGATGTTCCTGGGCTTCCCCACCACCAAGACCTACTTCCCCCACTTCGACTTCACCCACGGCTCTGAGCAGATCAAAGCCCACGGCAAGAAGGTGTCCGAAGCCCTGACCAAGGCCGTGGGCCACCTGGACGACCTGCCCGGCGCCCTGTCTACTCTCAGCGACCTGCACGCGCACAAGCTGCGGGTGGACCCGGTGAATTTCAAGGTGAGCCCGCAGCCCGGCTGGGAGCGTCGCGGGGGTCGGCGGTCCCCGACCACACCCACCGACGTCCGCCCCTCTCTCTGCAGCTCCTGTCCCACTGCCTGCTGGTGACCCTGGCCAACCACCACCCCAGTGAATTCACCCCTGCGGTGCACGCCTCCCTGGACAAGTTCCTGGCCAACGTGAGCACCGTGCTGACCTCCAAATATCGTTAAGCTGGAGCCTGGGAGCCGGCCTGGCCCTCCGCCCCCCCCATCCCCGCAGCCCACCCCCGGTCTTTGAATAAAGTCTGAGTGAGTGGCCGACAGTGTCCGTGGAGTCTCTGTGACCTGAGGTGCAGGGCCGGCCTGGGGACACGTCCGTGCACGTGCCGAGGCCCCCTGTGCAGCTGCAAGGGACAGGAGTGGGCAACCGGCTGGTTCCTTCCTTCCTGCTTGCAAGTCCACGAGGGGCTGCTGAAAGAACCCCCCACACACACATGCACACACTCGTGCCACTCGGCTGCCTCCAGCCTGGGTCCCCGGCTCCCCCAGATCTCGGGGGGGCACTGGCTCTCCCTCAGCCTCCCAAACGTACCCACCCACCCACCCACCCACGGTGCAGACAAAACCGGAGGTCGAGTGCAGGCTGCAGATCCCAGCAGCACCCGGGGACGCTCACTCCTAAGACCCTTAGGTCGCGCTTGGGGCCAGTGAGGCCCAGTGCCCACGTGGCCACCCTGGGGCTGGCACCCCTGCCTTGAGGCAGCGGGGGCCCGGGGTGGACAGTGCCCGCGGCAGGCTTCCTTCCTGAAGAGGGAGGTTTGCCGTGCCATCCAGCCCCTGGCTAACACCAGTGTCCTCTCACGCCCAGTCTGGGGCTCCTCCTTGGAGGACACCGTGGCAGCCCCTTGGGCACCTCGGGGGCAGTGGGAGCCGTGGGAAGGGGCGTCTTCGCTCCTTGAGAGGAAGGGAGACAGGTGAGGGTGGGGCGGGACAGGTGCACCTGAGCAGGTGAATGGGCAGACTGTGGTGCCACCGTAGCCAGGAATGGTGGAACACCGCCGTAGCCGGGAATGGTGGGGCACCGCCGTAGCCGGGAATGGTGGGGCACCGCCGTAGCCGGGAATGGTGGGGCACGGCTGAACCTGCAACACTGCCTGCTGAGGAGCAGCCGGGCGCAGGAGCCCACCCACTGGGGTGGAGACCCCGCTTCTCCAACCAGACGCCCAGCTCCGTGCAGCTCAGGTTGGGGAGCAGTGGTCATCGATGACCAGGCTGGAGACTCGGCTTCTTAGCCGCTGGCTTGCTTCCTCTGCTCCCGCCTGGGTTTTGTGGTCAGTCAGCAGAAGGGCGGGGGGGGGGGGCTCCAGTGCCCAGGTCTGTGGGAGGGGTGGAGGCACTGTGAGGGGACCACTTGGGGGTGCGGCTGGCAGGGCGTGACCCCATGTGCTCTGTGGGTCTCCTGGAGTTCCATTCAGGGACGTGGCCCCCACAAGTGCCAGGGCTCAGCAGTGGGAGACACACTGCCCGGAGGCGGCACACCCACATTAGGTGGACCACAGACGCCAGTCCTCTGCTGGCCCCGGCTGTGTCCGGCTTCCCCTGACCCCCGCGTGCCCTCTCGGGTCCAGGGCCACCTCTGCAGCAAGCAGAGGCGCTCACTTGCCTGGAATCACGGCAGGCCAGTCCTGCTTGGTTTAACCCAGAGTGGACACTGATAAGTGTCATAAGTAGAAAGTATAGCTAATTGGCGTCATGGGTATACAGCTGCTATTTAGTAGGTTAGGAATTTGTGTGTGTGGCTGTCTCTGTAATTACAATTACAACCTCAGTGCCTTAAGTCATCAACACTCAGCTTATAATGTCTGTGTGCATCTTGTTTCATAATTGGATAATGAATCTATATTCAAATTAATGTAACGTTGATTTCTGTCCAAGAAAAATAAATGCAAGCATTTAAAAAATCTATGACTTTTTTTAAAAGTCCACATGTTGAATAATCCCATTTATTAAACACACACACACACACACAACAAGCAAATCCGTGGAAACAGAGAGGAGGTTGGTGGGCTGGAGGAGGGGCTGGAGGCACTGCCCCGGCAGTTTGGGAGTAGAGGTGGGGAGGGTCGCACGCGCTGGCTTGACAGCTCAGTGTGGGAGCTGCAAGGCTCGGCTAGGCACTCAGCAGGTGCAGGTGTTGGCCGCCCGCAACGGAACTCCTGCTGCGAGCCACCCCGACCGACCGCGCGGCGGCCCAGCCCGGGAGTCGCTGTCACCATCTCGCGCAGCGCCCGCGCTCTGCCGGGGTTCCGCGTCCTGTCCAGGTCTCCCTCTGCGCGTGTGCATAACATGTGTCTCCACTGAATGTTTCAAATGTGTGTTTTGCTGAAAGGCCTGGGGTTCAGAGCGAGCCCGAAAGTGGCGGACCGAGACTGCGTGCGTGCGCGGGCCTCCGGGTGCGCGCGGCGGCGCCGCGGGGCGGGACGGGCCTGCGCCACGCCCCCAGAGGCCCGCGGGGACCCGGCCCGCCGCGCCCGCCGCGCCCGCCGCGCCCGCCGCTGCCCGCCGCTGCCCGCCGCTGCCCGCCGCTGCGGGATGGCGCTGTCGGCGGCGGAGCGGGCGCTGCTGCGCGCCCTGTGGAAGAAGCTGGGGAGCAACGTGGGCGTCTACGCGACCGAGGCCCTGGAGAGGTGCGCACCGGGAGGGCGCCCCCGGCCCGCCGCGCCCCGCGCCCGCGGGGCCCCCACACGCACCACATCCCCCTCCTCCCGCAGAACCTTGGAGGCCTTCCCGCGCACCAAGATCTACTTCTCCCACATGGACCTGAGCCCGGGCTCCGCCCAGGTCAGAGCCCACGGCCGCAAGGTGGCCGACGCGCTGACCCTCGCCGCAGACCACCTGGACGACCTGCCCGGCGCCCTGTCCGCTCTGAGCGACCTGCACGTGCGCACGCTGCGCGTGGACCCCCACCACTTCGGGGTGAGCGCCGGGACTTCGCCGGGGAGGGGGCTCCCCTAGGCGGGGTGGGGGAGGAGAATCGATGGACCGCGAGCGGGAACGACCCCTCCCTGCAGCTGCTGGGCCACTGTCTGCTGGTGACCCTCGCCCGGCACTACCCTGGAGACTTCGGCCCCGCCATGCACGCCTCGGTGGACAAATTCCTGCACCACGTGATCTCGGCGCTGACCTCCAAGTACCGCTGAATGGAGGGTGGGAGGTCGTGGGACGCCCCGCCCCCCGCGACGCCGTCGCGTTGGAGTAAAGCCCCGGGGCAGCAGCCTGAACCGAGTGCTCCCTGGGGATGCGTGTGTGGGGATGGCCTCGGGTCCGCAAACCAAGGGGCTGGCGGGTTTGGGGCACCAGGTCCCAAATTCCAATTCCTTGGCCTTGGCCAGGAGGGTGGCAGGCGGGAGGTGGTCGGGGGGCTGTTGATGCCCAGTCCAGGCCCTTCGCAGTACTGCTCGCTTAGTCCTCCTGGACTCCGCTCAAACCCAGCTGCACAGGCCTGGTGCCAGGCCGAGGCCCTTCTGTCTCCCGGGGCGGAGTCCGGCCTAGGCCCTGGCAGCCGCACAGCGGACAATCGGGGAAGGGAGCCCCCTGCTGCCCAGCGCAGGAACCGGGCCCTGGACGTCGGAGGTCCGTGGCGAGACAGGACCCCTGGACCAGCCTTGCAGCCCACGGGGCTGGCGGGACCCCACCCCTCCCTGGAAAGCCAGAGCTGCCCTCGCTCAGGATTTTGCCTCAGATGTGCAGTCACGGCCACTGCAGAAACTCCACCTTCTGACCTACTTCTTCGAGGTCCACGTGACACTCGGCAAACTCACTCCTGCACGGCAGTACCGCTCGGCAGAAGCAGCCACATGGAGACACACAGCATTCTTTTGAGAGGGTTGATTTGAGAGGCAGAGTGATGAGGGGTGGGGTGGGGGAAGGTCTTCCACCGCTGGTTCACTCCCCAGACCTGCGATGTCCGAGGCCAGGAACCTGGAGCTCCATCCGGGTCTCCGACCGCATCTGCCCTCCCCGGCACCTGGATCAGAAGTGCACAGGAGCTGGGACTTGAGCCAGGCACTGCTACGTGGGACAAGGATGTCTGTAAACTGTGATTTCTGGGGCGCCTGCGAGGTGTTCCCAGGAGAGAAGCGAGCTCAGGGGAAGATCCGCCGGCGTGGGTGTCGGGCCTAGCAGCCGAGATGCCCAGGCTGTGCCAGGACTTGATGCCTGGCTCCTGCGGACTCTGGGGGGTGACAGTCACTTCAAGCACCTGGGCCCCTGCCACCCATGTGGGAGCCCTGCATTTCCAGTCTGGGCTCCTGGCGTTGGCTTGGCCCGGCCACCGCCACTGCGGGCACCGGCAGTGAGCCAGATGGAAGGTCCGTCCCTTTCACATAAATATTTGTGTAGTTTGGTGGGGTTTAGTGTATTTGCAGTGCTGGGTGCCCTGGCTCACCACGTTCTGGAACTTTTCTTCTTTAAAGATTTATCCATTTGTAAGCAGCTGGGACTGGGCCAGGCTGAAGCCAGGAGCCTCCGGCATTCGTGGCAGGGGCCCAGCTGCTGCCTCCCCAGGGGCGTTAGTGGGACGCTGGGTTGGGAACTGAGCAGCTGGGCCTCAAACCAACACTGACACGTGCTTAACCCGCGAGCCCCATCGGGGCACCGAGACCGCAACTTCTAGAGGACCACAATGCTGACGACGGTGCTTTGTCTGCCAAGACGCCCATGCAGTGTGGGGCAGGTGTTTAGCTCAGCTGTTAGGGAGCTCCTCGCTCCGGCTTCTCGCGCATGTAGTGCCGGCTCAAGTCGTTGGGTTCCTGCCCCCCACATGGGAGACCCGCACTCAACTCCTGTCTCCCAGAGAGAAGTTAACTACTGGAGGAGGGCTCTCCATTTACCTCCGAAACAATAAATTTAAAAACTATTTTTAAAGATTTATTTGAAAGGCAGAGTTTCAGGGAGAGACAGAGACTGAGTGAGATCTTCCATCTGATGTTTCACTCCACTAACGGCAGCGATAGCAGGAGCAGGGTGGATCCGCAGCTGGGAGCCAGGAGCCGGGAACTTCCTCCACGTCTCCCAGTGGGTGCAGGGGCCCAAGCACCCAGGCGTCTCCCACTGCAGTCCCAGGAGCATCAGCAGGGCGCTGGGTCAGAAGTGGAGCCCCCGGGGCCTGAACTGCTGCCCACACGGGACTTGGGCTCCACAGGCAGCATCTTTCCCCGCTACGCCACTACTCCACCCTTAGCCTGAGTCCTAACAGCCTAGCCACACACGGGCCTGAAGGCATGTTGAGGGCAAGCTGAAGGCGGTGCCATGCAGCCTCGTGCTCCCCCTCCCAGCCCTGTCCAGGGGCCCCTCCCCCAATCCGAGTCTCCCCAGGCCCCAGTAAGGAGCTAGGGTACTGGGGCTCCCAGTCTTGGAAACAACTAACACAGTGAGGAGATCCTGGAAGACAGCTCCTGGCTGAGGATCCCAGACTGTGCCGGGGCCGCCAGGCAGATGGCACCCAGCCCTGAAGAGGGGTCCTGGGGCTGGGGTCTTGAGCCTGTTGTGCAGAGCTGCCCCTCCCCCACATACTGAGATCCTGTTCCCAGAGCTGTGAGGGAGGGGCTTAGAGAACTGACCCCACGTTACCTGCAGATATGGGTAAGCTGGACCGGGGAGTTCCCCTGCCCCCTGTCCCCTCCCGCATCCCCACTCTGCACCCCACCCCTGGTCTTTGAATAAAGCTTGACTGTCAGTGGAGTCTCTGTGTCCCTGAGGTGGGGGAGATGGGCTGGAGGACTCCACGGGCACACACTGACCCCCTCTGCAGAAGCTGTGGGGCAGGAGTGGGCAGGGGAGGAGGCCCCAGACTTCCTCAGGGGGAAAGGTGTCCGGGGCCAGCACCCTCCTTTGAAATATGGCCAACTACATCACACCCACCAAACAGAAGCAGGCTGTCCTACACAGAGGCAGCCACCAGAAATCCTCTCTCACTGACACCCATCCCCTGGAACCAGGGCCCCGGGTTGGAGAGTTCGTGTCGGGGGCTCCCCTCCCCTCCTCTGTTGCACAGCCCCAGAGCCAGACCCTGGGCAGGCCCCTGGTGCCCTGCTTCCTGAGTCCTGCAGGCTGGCCAGGAGCTTGCTGTGTGCCCAGGCCTCTGGCATCTCCCTCGTCCACGGCTGGCACCCCTGGAACTGGCCCCTGTCCTAGTGCAGACAGCCCAGACTCCGGCAGCTCTGGCACACCTTCCTGGCTGAATGCCCTGGGAGCGCCATCAGGCGTCCAGCCTGGCCCAACCCAGCACAAGCCTGGGCACCAGCCCTCGTAGCACTCTGGGCAGTGTCAGGCCCTGGCACCGCTTTCTCTGCCATGGCCCCGGCTGAGCCGTTGGCAGCTCCCTCCCCACCACCAACTCCCCCTGCACAGCCCCATCCATCTTCACTCAATATACAAAAACACTGAAGAAATAACCAGGGGTGGGTGTTGGCACAGTGAGAAGTCACACCCACATCCCTGAGTGCCTGGTCTGGGTCCTGGCTCCACGTGCGTCAGATCCATTTCTTGCACATGCACCCTGGGAAGGAGGGAGGTGATGACTCAAGGACTTGGGTTCCTGACAGGCTTGGAGACACTGGCTCCCGGCTTAGGCCAGCACAGCTGGAGCTGTTGCAGCTCTTTGGGAAGTGAACCAGTGGGTGGGAGTGCTACCTCCCTTACTCTCTTCTCTCTGTCTTTCAAATACAGAAACATCTTGACAGAGAGAGACAGAGACAGGATCAGGCGTTGTGTGGCCCCTGATGAAGCGCCCTTGGGAGGCCTGCATGTCGTACCAGAGTGCCCGTTGAAGCCCTGCTGCTTCCCTCCCTCAGCTCCCTGGGATGCAGTGGGTGACGACCCCTGTACTTAGGGCCCTGCCACCCAGGTGCGACCCGGATGGAGTTCCTCCTGGTTTGCCCAGCTCAGCCCAGTGAAAGCATATGGGGAGTGAAGTAGCAGATGGGAGACCAATCCGAGGACTTCCCTATCTTTGTGTCACTCTGCCTTTCAATTCAGTACATAAATAAATAAGTCATTCAAAACAAAATTAGGCCGGATCCGCAGCTCAGTAGGCTAATCCTCGGCCTGCGGCGCCGGCACCCCGGGTTCTAGTCCCGGCTGGGGCACCGGATTCTGTCCGGTTGCTCCTCTTCCAGTCCAGCTCTCTGCCCTGGCCCGGGAGTGCAGTGGAGGATGGCCCAGGTCCTTGGGCCCTGCACCCGCATGGGAGACCAGGAGGAAGCACCTGGCTCCGGGCTTCGGATCAGCATGGTGTACCGGCCGCAGCAGCCATTGGAGGGTGAACCAATGGAAAAGGAATGAGCACAGCATGGGGTTGCTGTCATGGCACAGGGCCCTGTGGCTTAGCCGCCTGCACCTGGCATCAAACTGGAGTCCCTGGCGCTCCACCTCTGACCCAGCTCCATGCTACCAGCCTGGGAAAAGCAGGGGACGGTGGCCCCAAGTGTTTGGGCCCTTGAACCCACCTGGGAGACCTGGGTGGAGCCCCTCTCCTGGTTTCAGCCTGGGTCACTTAAGGCCTTTGTGGCAGCAGAGCTGTGGGCCGGCAGTGGAGGAGCTCTCTTTCCCTGTCTCTCCCGCTCTCTTGGAAGTCTTTCAATAAATCAATAAAAGAGAAGGAAGCCTGTGTTCCCACGGAGCCCACCCCGTGAATGTTCACAGCGGCTGTCTGGGCCATAGCAACCCAAATGTCCTCAAGGCGTGAACGGACCACGTCCGGCCTTGCCCCAGAGAGGAGTCGAGTGCTGCCGCCCAGCCCCGCCCGGATGAAGGGGAAGGAGGCATCTGCACAGACTGCACCGACGACTCCATGGACACGACGTTCCTTTTGGGATTTACTTATTGGAAAAGCTGAGTTGTAGAGACAGAGACATGGCGAGAGAAAGAGAGAGAGGGACACAAAGAGAGAGAGGGACAGAGAGAGAGAGGGACAGAGAGAGATCTTCCATCCAGGGTTCACTCCACAAACGGCTTCGAAGGCTGGGACTGGGCCAGGCTGGAGCCAGGAGCCTGATTCCATCCTGTGTGGCACGGAGGTGGCAGGCACCCAGGCTCTGGGGCCATCTTCTGCTGCTTTCCCAGGCACTGTAAGAGGGAGCTGGACTGTGTGGCAGGAAGGAACAGGGGAGCAGGGGCTGGGCTGGGCCGCAGTCCCTGTCTGAAATGCCCGTGTGCGCTCCCTGTGGACTGCACGCTGGGTTTTGCCTTGCAAAGACTGTGTAAAATGTGCTTTCCTGACTGCCGGGTGTGGGGCCCCCTCCCCCGGCTCTTCCTCAGATTCCCAAATACCAGGACCCACTTCTCGCACATCCCCCGCATACGGCCTCGGCGCAGGTGCACACTCATGGCGTCAAGCTGGCATGGCGGTGGACAACGCGGTCAAGAACATGGACAACTTGGATGGCACGCTGTCCACGCTGAGGCACACGCTCCCCTACATGCTTCGCGTGGACCCGGTCAACTTCAGGGTGAGCGCAGAGCACAGACTCCCTCCTGTGGGCAGGGTTGGGGTCTGGGGCTGCCCACCCGCCCTGACTGCCCCCTGCCACGCAGCTGCTGCCCAACTGCCTGCTGGTCACCCTGGCCGGGTACCTGTCCAGGGACTTCACCGCCGAGTCGCAACTCACCTGGGACAAGTTCCTGCGCCACGTGTTCATCATCCTGACCGAGAAGTACCCCTGAGAACACTCAGCACCCCTGGACAGCCGGACACCCCTCCCGTGTCCCTGACCCGCCCGGGCACCCTCTCCACTCCCCAATAAACTCATGCAGAAGGATGAGCTGTGTCCCGCGTTCCTTGTGCCAGGGGAAAGGGGCAGAAGCTGTGCCCAGCGGGCCGGGTCGGTGTCCGCAGTGCAGGCCGACTCCCGCGACCCTAGGGGCTGCACTGGGGATCCAGCCGCTCCCTCCATCCCGGGGAGCATCCCCAGGTCCCTCGGAGAGTTCGAGCGGCACAGGCGCTCTGAGTCCCGCAGGCTGAAGGCTGGGCACTCCTTTGGCACAGGCCGGTCGTTGATCTCATAAGATCATGCAGGGCGGTGGCGCCGGCGCCGGCCAGGTACAATAAGCGCACCCGCCACATCCGGGTCCCGCTCCAGATCTCTGGCCAGGATCACACATCCGGGAGGTGCTGGGGCACAGTGGGTCCTGCGGGGATACAGACCCTCAGCGAGGCCAGAGCAGGAACTCAGTTCAGGAGCAGGGAAGAGCTGTCACTAGCCGTCAAGTCAGCTAAGGCCTTCGTGGCAGCAGAGCTGTGGGCCGGCAGATGGAGGAGCTCTCTCTTCTGTCTCTGCCTCTCTCTTGGAAGTCTTTCACTAAATGAATAAAATAATTTCAGCAAAACACTTGTACTAATATTCACCAGAAACAATAGAGCAGAGGCGTCCATGCTAGCAGAGGCACAGGGTGAGCCACAGGGACACACGACGGCACGCTGTCAGGACAGCCCGGAGGGACACGGTGGCACATTGCAGGCCGTGGCCCGTCCCTTCATGCCGACAGGGCGGGAACAGGGCAGCATCCTAGGATGTCAGAGACACACGTGTCTACCCTGCTGGGAACCCTGCACAGAAGGAAGCCTGTGTTCCCACGGAGCCCACCCCGTGAATGTTCACAGCGGCTGTCTGGGCCTTAGCAACCCAAATGTCCTCAAGGCGTGAACGGACCACGTCCGGCCTTGCCCCAGAGAGGAGTCGAGTGCTGCCGCCCAGCCCCGCCCGGATGAGGGGAAGGAGGCATCTGCACAGACTGCACCGACGACTCCATGGACACGACGTTCCTTTTGGGATTTACTTATTGGAAAAGCTGAGTTGTAGAGACAGAGACATGGAGAGAGAAAGAGAGAGAGGGACAGAGAAAGAGAGGGACAGAGAGAGAGAGGGACAGAGAGAGAGGGACAGAGAGAGAGAGGGACAGAGAGAGATCTTCCATCCAGTGTTCACTCCACAAACGGCTTCAAAGGCTGGGACTGGGCCAGGCTGGAGCCAGGAGCCTGGACACCATCCTGTGTGGCACAGAGGTGGCAGGCACCCAGGCTCTGGGGCCATCTTCTGCTGCTTTCCCAGGCACATTAGGAGCGGGCTGGACTGGAAGAAGAGCAGCCCACCCTCCAACCGCTGCCCACATGGAATGCCTGTGTCACACACAGTGGCTTAACCCACTGTGCACGGTGCTGGCCCATACAGGACATTCTTGCAAAACACAAACTTGTAGTGGTTTCCAGAGGCTGGGGAGGGGAGGAGGGCAGCCAGAGCGTGGCTGAGGAGTATGCGGGTGATGGAGCTGGCTGTGTGTGGCAGCTGCTGGTTACAGCCCAGACAAGCCTAAAGCGACAGAGGCGACTATCTTGTGCTGGGATTTTTCTTCTATCTCGTCGTGTGGGGAGGCTATCGGCCTCACTGCTGGGAGAGCCGGGTCAGGGCCCACCTCCACTCCTGCTGGTGTGGCCCCGGGAGGCAGCACTGACAGCTGCACTACCTGGATTCTGCCACTCCCGCGGGAGACCTGGATGCACTTCCTGGCTCCTGGCCTCAGCCCTGGCCCAGCTCCGGCCGTGCAGGCCCTCGTCTGCCTGGCAAGTACACAAAGGATCTCTAAGACATAGAAGGCAGGTGCCCGTGCTGCAGCAGCCCCGCCCAGGGCAACACTGGGGTCCCCAGCAGCAGCACGTGACCTCAGGTGGCTGATCTCCCATCAGCCTGCCGGCTCCTCCCAAGCTCAGGGCACAGAGGGCTCCGCTCAGCGCCCCAGGGAGAGCCGTGTTCCTGGAGGGAACTCAGGGTCACAGACACCCGTGGGTCGGCCTGACCAGTGCCTGGGTGGGGTGGCCCGAGGGCGGGCAGCGGCCCCTGCTGCTCTGGTTGTCCCCATTTTGTGACTCTGGGAGGATGAGGACAGCGCAGCATGGCCATGCTGGGATGACCCCTGGGACGGCAGGGCCCCTATCTCCCCTGGACCCAGTGGAGAGACTGCGGCCAACGCCCCTGGAAGGCCCAGCAAGAGTGGTAGCCCCTCACCCGCCTCCCCCACCAGGCCCTGACCGCCTCTGTCATGGTGCCCAATAACAGACCCCACCCCCACAGCCCCTTCTGCTCCTCCCCTCTTCCCAGAAGAGCCAGGGCCTGGCTGGACTCTGCTCCCCGTATATAAGGGAGCCTGGGAGCTGAGCACCACCACACCCAGTGCTCAGCACCTCCAGCCCCTTGCAGCAGCCCAGCCCCGGCCTCACCATGTCTCTGACCAAGAGCGAGAGGACCATCATCATGTCCCTCTGGGACAAGGTCTCCTCCCAGTCTGAGGCCATCGGCACTGAGGCCCTGGAGAGGTAGGTGCCCCATGGGTCACAGCCTGAGTGTCCAGACCAGGGACGGGGAGAGGTCAGGAGGAGGGACGGTGACGCAGTGGCCAGTCTTCCTGCTCACGGCCTCCACCAGCAGCTGGGGACTGAGTGACAGGAACAGGGGAGCAGGGGCTGGGCTGGTCCGCAGTCCCTGTCTGAAATGCCCGTGTGCGCTCCCTGTGGACTGCACGCTGGGTTTTGCCTTGCAAACACTGCGTGAAAGTGGGCTTCTCCTGACTGCTGGGTGTGGGGCGCCCGCCCCCAGGCTCTTCCTCAGCTTCCCGCAGACCAAGATCTCCTTCCCGCACTTCGACCTGCGCCCGGGCTCCGCGCAACTGCGGGCTCATGGAGCCGAAGTGGCGGCCGCGCTGGACGACGCAGTCAAGAACATGGACAACTTGGATAGCGCGCTGTCCTCTCTAAGCGACCTGCTCGCCTACAAGCTGCGCATTGACCCGGTCAACTTCAGGGTGAGCGCAGAGCACGGGCGACTGGGTGGGACGGGGCCTTGTGGGCAGGGCTGGGCGCGAGGTCCGGGCCGGGGTGGGGTCCTGGATCTGGGGAGGCCCTTGGTGTCTACCTCTCCGCCTGCTGCTGACCGCCCCCTGGCGCACAGCTCCTGTCCCACTGCCTGCAGGTCACCCTGGCCAGGAACCTGCCCAGAGACTTCACCGCCGAGGCCCAAGCTGCCTGGGACAAGTTCCTGGGCCGAATGTCTGACGTCAAGACCGCTAAGTAGTCCTGAGCGTTCTCCGCACCCCTGGACAGCCGGACACCCCTCCTGTGTCCCTGACCCGCCCGGGCACCCTCTCCACTCCCCAATAAACTCATGCAGAAGGATGAGCTGTGTCCCGCTTTCCTTGTGCCAGGGGAAAGGGGCAGAAGCTGTGCCCAGCGGGCCGGGTCGGTGTCCGCAGTGCGGGCCGACTCCCGCGACCCTAGCGGCTGCACTGGGGATCCGGCTGCTCCCTCCATCCCGGGGAGCATCCCCAGGTCCCTCGGAGAGTTCGAGCGGCACAGGCGCTCTGAGTCCCGCAGGCTGAAGGCTGGGCACTCCTTTGGCACAGGCCGGTCGTTGATCTCATAAGATCATGCAGGGCGGTGGCGCCGGCGCCGGCCAGGTACAATAAGTGCACCCGCCACATCCGGGTCCCGCTCCAGATCTCTGGCCAGGATCACACATCCGGGAGGTGCTGGGGCACAGTGGGTCCTGCGGGGTTACAGACCCTCAGCGAGGCCAGAGCAGGAACTCAGTTCAGGAGCAGGGAAGAGCTGTCACGGAGCCTCACGGCTGCCTGCAGGTGCTCCTCCCAGGAGCTACAACGGGAGCAGGGGCCTGGCTTCATTCACCCCGAGGCACTCCCTGTGGTCCGTGTGGTTCCTGGGTCTTTTACTTTAAACATGCTAATATACCTCGTGATGTGACAGAGTTTAGACATTACGGGTTTTTTAAAGGAGATTTATTTATTTGAAAGGCAGAGTTACAGAGAAAGAGGCAGAGACAGAGAACAAGAGATCTTCCATCTGCTGGATGGCTCCTCAAATGGCCACAGTGGCCAGGGCTGGGCCAGACCACAGTCAGGCGCCAGGAGCTTCTTCCAGACCTCCCCGTGGGTGCAGGGGCCCAAGCACCCAGGCGTCTCCCACTGCAGTCCCAGGAGCATCAGCAGGGCGCTGGGTCAGAAGTGGAGCCCCCGGGGCCTGAACTGCTGCCCACACGGGACTTGGGCTCCACAGGCAGCATCTTTCCCCGCTACGCCACTACTCCACCCTTAGCCTGAGTCCTAACAGCCTAGCCACACACGGGCCTGAAGGCATGTTGAGGGCAAGCTGAAGGTGGTGCCATGCAGCCTCGTGCTCCCCCTCCCAGCCCTGTCCAGGGGCCCCTCCCCCAATCCGAGTCTCCCCAGGCCCCAGTAAGGAGCTAGGGTACTGGGGCTCCCAGTCTTGGAAACAACTAACACAGTGAGGAGATCCTGGAAGACAGCTCCTGGCTGAGGATCCCAGACTGTGCCGGGGCGGCCAGGCAGATGGCACCCAGCCCTGAAGAGGGGTCCTGGGGCTGGGGTCTTGAGCCTGTTGTGCAGAGCTGCCCCTCCCCCACATACTGAGATCCTGTTCCCAGAGCTGTGAGGGAGGGGCTTAGAGAACTGACCCCACGTTACCTGCAGATATGGGTAAGCTGGACCGGGGAGTTCCCCTGCCTTCTGCCCCCTGCACCCCCCATCCCCGCAGCCCACCCCTGGTCTTTGAATAAAGTCTGAGTGAGTGGCCGACAGTGTCCGTGGAGTCTGTGACCTGAGGTGCAGGGCCGGCCTGGGGACACGTCCGTGCACGTGCCGAGGCCCCCTGTGCAGCTGCAGGGGACAGGAGTGGGCAACCGGCTGGTTCCTTCCTTCCTGCTTGCAAGTCCACGAGGGGCTGCTGAAAGAACCCCCCCCCGACACATGCACACACTCGTGCCACTCGGCTGCCTCCAGCCTGGGTCCCCGGCTCCCCCAGGATCTCGGGAGGGCACTGGCTCTCCCTCAGCCTCCCAAACGTACCCACCCACCCACCCACCCACCCACGGTGCAGACAAAACCGGAGGTCGAGTGCAGGCTGCAGATCCCAGCAGCACCCGGGGACGCTCACTCCTAAGACCCTTAGGTCGCGCTTGGGGCCAGTGAGGCCCAGTGCCCACGTGGCCACCCTGGGGCTGGCACCCCTGCCCTGAGGCAGCGGGGGCCCGGGGTGGACAGTGCCCGCGGCAGGCTTCCTTCCTGAAGAGGGAGGTTTGCCGTGCCATCCAGCCCCTGGCTAACACCAGTGTCCTCTCACGCCCAGTCTGGGGCTCCTCCTTGGAGGACACCGTGGCAGCCCCTTGGGCACCTCGGGGGCAGTGGGAGCCGTGGGAAGGGGCGTCTTCGCTCCTTGAGAGGAAGGGAGACAGGTGAGGGTGGGGCGCGACAGGTGCACCTGAGCAGGTGAGTGGGCAGACTGTGGTGCCGCCGTAGCCAGGAATGGTGGGGCACCGCCGTAGCCGGGAATGGTGGGGCACCGCCGTAGCCGGGAATGGTGGGGCACGGCTGAACCTGCAACACTGCCTGCTGAGGAGCAGCCGGGTGCAGGAGCCCACCCACTGGGGTAGAGACCCCGCTTCTCCAACCAGACGCCCAGCTCCGTGCAGCTCAGGTTGGGGAGCAGTGGTCATCGATGACCAGGCTGGAGACTCGGCTTCTTAGCCGCTGGCTTGCTTCCTCTGCTCCCGCCTGGGTTTTGTGGTCAGTCAGCAGAAGGGCGGGGGGGGGGGCTCCAGTGCCCAGGTCTGTGGGAGGGGTGGAGGCACTGTGAGGGGACCACTTGGGGGTGCGGCTGGCAGGGCGTGACCCCATGTGCTCTGTGGGTCTCCTGGAGTTCCATTCAGGGACGTGGCCCCCACAAGTGCCAGGGCTCAGCAGTGGGAGACACACTGCCCGGAGGCGGCACACCCACATTAGGTGGACCACAGACGCCAGTCCTCTGCTGGCCCCGGCTGTGTCCGGCTTCCCCTGACCCCCGCGTGCCCTCTCGGGTCCAGGGCCACCTCTGCAGCAAGCAGAGGCGCTCACTTGCCTGGAATCACGGCAGGCCAGTCCTGCTTGGTTTAACCCAGAGTGGACACTGATAAGTGTCATAAGTAGAAAGTATAGCTAATTGGCGTCATGGGTATACAGCTGCTATTTAGTAGGTTAGGAATTTGTGTGTGTGGCTGTCTCTGTAATTACAATTACAACCTCAGTGCCTTAAGTCATCAACACTCAGCTTATAATGTCTGTGTGCATCTTGTTTCATAATTGGATAATGAATCTATATTCAAATTAATGTAACATTGATTTCTGTCCAAGAAAAATAAATGCAAGCATTTAAAAAATCTATGACTTTTTTTAAAAGTCCACATGTTGAATAATCCCATTTATTAAACACACACACACACACACACACAACAAGCAAATCCGTGGAAACAGAGAGGAGGTTGGTGGGCTGGAGGAGGGGCTGGAGGCACTGCCCCGGCAGTTTGGGAGTAGAGGTGGGGAGGGTCGCACGCGCTGGCTTGACAGCTCAGTGTGGGAGCTGCAAGGCTCGGCTAGGCACTCAGCAGGTGCAGGTGTTGGCCGCCCGCAACGGAACTCCTGCTGCGAGCCACCCCGACCGCGCGGCGGCCCAGCCCGGGAGTCGCTGTCACCATCTCGCGCAGCGCCCGCGCTCTGCCGGGGTTCCGCGTCCTGTCCAGGTCTCCCTCTGCGCGTGTGCATAACATGTGTCTCCACTGAATGTTTCAAATGTGTGTTTTGCTGAAAGGCCTGGGGTTCAGAGCGAGCCCGAAAGTGGCGGACCGAGACTGCGTGCGTGCGCGGGCCTCCGGGTGCGCGCGGCGGCGCCGCGGGGCGGGACGGGCCTGCGCCACGCCCCCAGAGGCCCGCGGGGACCCGGCCCGCCGCGCCCGCCGCGCCCGCCGCTGCCCGCCGCTGCCCGCCGCGCCCGCCGCTGCCCGCCGCTGCCCGCCGCTGCGGGATGGCGCTGTCGGCGGCGGAGCGGGCGCTGCTGCGCGCCCTGTGGAAGAAGCTGGGGAGCAACGTGGGCGTCTACGCGACCGAGGCCCTGGAGAGGTGCGCACCGGGAGGGCGCCCCCGGCCCGCCGCGCCCCGCGCCCGCGGGGCCCCCACACGCACCACATCCCCCTCCTCCCGCAGAACCTTGGAGGCCTTCCCGCGCACCAAGATCTACTTCTCCCACATGGACCTGAGCCCGGGCTCCGCCCAGGTCAGAGCCCACGGCCGCAAGGTGGCCGACGCGCTGACCCTCGCCGCAGACCACCTGGACGACCTGCCCGGCGCCCTGTCCGCTCTGAGCGACCTGCACGTGCGCACGCTGCGCGTGGACCCCCACCACTTCGGGGTGAGCGCCGGGACTTCGCCGGGGAGGGGGCTCCCCTAGGCGGGGTGGGGGAGGAGAATCGATGGACCGCGAGCGGGAACGACCCCTCCCTGCAGCTGCTGGGCCACTGTCTGCTGGTGACCCTCGCCCGGCACTACCCTGGAGACTTCGGCCCCGCCATGCACGCCTCGGTGGACAAATTCCTGCACCACGTGATCTCGGCGCTGACCTCCAAGTACCGCTGAATGGAGGGTGGGAGGTCGTGGGACGCCCCGCCCCCCGCGACGCCGTCGTGTTGGAGTAAAGCCCCGGGGCAGCAGCCTGAACCGAGTGCTCCCTGGGGATGTGTGTGTGGGGATGGCCTCGGGTCCGCAAACCAAGGGGCTGGCGGGTTTGGGGCACCAGGTCCCAAATTCCAATTCCTTGGCCTTGGCCAGGAGGGTGGCAGGCGGGAGGTGGTCGGGGGGCTGTTGACGCCCAGTCCAGGCCCTTCGCAGTACTGCTCGCTTAGTCCTCCTGGACTCCGCTCAAACCCAGCTGCACAGGCCTGGTCCCAGGCCGAGGCCCTTCTGTCTCCCGGGGCGGAGTCCGGCCTAGGCCCTGGCAGCCGCACAGCGGACAATCGGGGAAGGGAGCCCCCTGCTGCCCAGCGCAGGAACCGGGCCCTGGACGTCGGAGGTCCGTGGCGAGACAGGACCCCTGGACCAGCCTTGCAGCCCACGGGGCTGGCGGGACCCCACCCCTCCCTGGAAAGCCAGAGCTGCCCTCGCCCAGGATTTTGCCTCAGATGTGCAGTCACGGCCACTGCAGAAACTCCACCTTCTGTCCCTACTTCTTCGAGGTCCACGTGACACACGGCAAACTCACTCCTGCACGGCAGTACCGCTCGGCAGAAGCAGCCACATGGAGACACACAGCATTCTTTTGAGAGGGTTGATTTGAGAGGCAGAGTGACGAGGGGTGGGGTGGGGGAAGGTCTTCCACCGCTGGTTCACTCCCCAGACCTGCGATGTCCGAGGCCAGGAACCTGGAGCTCCATCCGGGTCTCCGACCGCATCTGCCCTCCCCGGCACCTGGATCAGAAGTGCACAGGAGCTGGGACTTGAGCCAGGCACTGCTACGTGGGACAAGGATGTCTGTAAACTGTGGTTTCTGGGGCGCCTGCGAGGTGTTCCCAGGAGAGAAGCGAGCTCAGGGGAAGATCCGCCGGCGTGGGTGTCGGGCCTAGCAGCCGAGATGCCCAGGCTGTGCCAGGACTTGATGCCTGGCTCCTGCGGACTCTGGGGGGTGACAGTCACTTCAAGCACCTGGGCCCCTGCCACCCATGTGGGAGCCCTGCATTTCCAGTCTGGGCTCCTGGCGTTGGCTTGGCCCGGCCACCGCCACTGCGGGCACCGGCAGTGAGCCAGATGGAAGGTCGTCCCTTTCACATAAATATTTGTGTAGTTTGGTGCGGTTTAGTGTATTTGCAGTGCTGGGTGCCCTGGCTCACCACGTTCTGGAACTTTTCTTCTTTAAAGATTTGTCCATTAGTAAGCAGCTGGGACTGGGCCAGGCTGAAGCCAGGAGCCTCCGGCATTCGTGGCAGGGGCCCAGCTGCTGCCTCCCCAGGGGCGTTAGTGGGACGCTGGGTTGGGAACAGAGCAGCTGGGCCTCAAACCAACACTGACACGAGCTTAACCCGCGGAGCCCCATCGGGGCACCGAGACCGCACAACTTCTAGAGGACCACAATGCTGACGACGGTGCTTTGTCTGCCAAGACGCCCATGCAGTGTGGGGCAGGTGTTTAGCTCAGCTGTTAGGGAGCTCCTCGCTCCGGCTTCTCGCGCATGTAGTGCCGGCTCAAGTTGTTGGGTTCCTGCCCCCCACATGGGAGACCCGCACTCAACTCCTGTCTCCCAGAGAGAAGTTAACTACTGGAGGAGGGCTCTCCATTTACCTCCGAAACAATAAATTTAAAAACTATTTTTAAAGATTTATTTGAAAGGCAGAGTTTCAGGGAGAGACAGAGACTGAGTGAGATCTTCCATCTGATGTTTCACTCCACTAACGGCAGCGATAGCAGGAGCAGGGTGGATCCGCAGCTGGGAGCCAGGAGCCGGGAACTTCCTCCACGTCTCCCCGTGGGTGCAGGGGCCCAAGCACCAGGCGTCTCCCACTGCAGTCCCAGGAGCATCAGCAGGGCGCTGGGTCAGAAGTGGAGCCCCCGGGGCCTGAACTGCTGCCCACACGGGACTTGGGCTCCACAGGCAGCATCTTTCCCCGCTACGCCACTACTCCACCCTTAGCCTGAGTCCTAACCGCCTAGCCACACACGGGCCTGAAGGCATGTTGAGGGCAAGCTGAAGGCGGTGCCATGCAGCCTCGTGCTCCCCCTCGGCCCTGTCCAGGGGCCCCTCCCCCAATCCGAGTCTCCCCAGGCCCCAGTAAGGAGCTAGGGTACTGGGGCTCCCAGTCTTGGAAACAACTAACACAGTGAGGAGATCCTGGAAGACAGCTCCTGGCTGAGGATCCCAGACTGTGCCGGGGCCGCCAGGCAGATGGCACCCAGCCCTGAAGAGGGGTCCTGGGGCTGGGGTCTTGAGCCTGTTGTGCAGAGCTGCCCCTCCCCCACATACTGAGATCCTGTTCCCAGAGCTGTGAGGGAGGGGCTTAGAGAACTGACCCCACGTTACCTGCAGATATGGGTAAGCTGGACCGGGGAGTTCCCCTGCCCCCTGTCCCCTCCCGCATCCCCACTCTGCACCCCACCCCTGGTCTTTGAATAAAGCTTGAAAGTCAGTGGAGTCTCTGTGTCCCTGAGGTGGGGGAGATGGGCTGGAGGACTCCACGGGCACACACTGACCCCCTCTGCAGCAGCTGTGGGGCAGGAGTGGGCAGGGGAGGAGGCCCCAGATTCCTCAGGGGGAAAGGTGTCCTGGGGCCAGCACCCTCCTTTGAAATATGGCCAACTACATCACACCCACCAAACAGAAGCAGGCTGTCCTACACAGAGGCAGCCACCAGAAATCCTCTCTCACTGACACCCATCCCCTGGAACCAGGGCCCCGGGGGCTCCCCTCCACTCCTCTGTTGCACAGCCCCACAGCCAGGACCTGGGCAGGCCCCCTGGTGCCCTGCTTCCTGAGTCCTGCAGGCTGGCCAGGAGCTCGCTGTGTGCCCAGGCCTCTGGCATCTCCCTCGTCCACGGCTGGCACCCCTGGAACTGGCCCCTGTCCTAGTGCAGACAGCCCAGACTCCGGCAGCTCTTGCACCACCCTCCTGGCTGAATGCCCTGGGAGCGCCATCAGGCGTCCAGCCTGGCCCAACCCAGCACAAGCCTGGGCACCAGCCCTCGTAGCACTCTGGGCAGTGTCAGGCCCTGGCACCGCTTTCTCTGCCATGGCCCCGGCTGAGCCGTTGGCAGCTCCCTCCCCACCACCAACTCCCCCTGCACAGCCCCATCCATCTTCACTCAATATACAAAAACACTGAAGAAATAACCAGGGGTGGGTGTTGGCACAGTGAGAAGTCACACCCACATCCCTGAGTGCCTGGTCTGGGTCCTGGCTCCATGTGCGTCAGATCCATTTCTTGCACATGCACCCTGGGAAGGAGGGAGGTGATGACTCAAGGACTTGGGTTCCTGACAGGCTTGGAGACACTGGCTCCCGGCTTAGGCCAGCACAGCTGGAGCTGTTGCAGCTCTTTGGGAAGTGAACCAGTGGGTGGGAGTGCTACCTCCCTTACTCTCTTCTCTCTGTCTTTCAAATACAGAAACATCTTGACAGAGAGAGACAGAGACAGGATCAGGCGTTGTGTGGCCCCTGATGAAGCGCCCTTGGGAGGCCTGCATGTCGTACCAGAGTGCCCGTTGAAGCCCTGCTGCTTCCCTCCCTCAGCTCCCTGGGATGCAGTGGGTGACGACCCCTGTACTTAGGGCCCTGCCACCCAGGTGCGACCCGGATGGAGTTCCTCCTGGTTTGCCCAGCTCAGCCCAGTGAAAGCATATGGGGAGTGAAGTAGCAGATGGGAGACCAATCCGAGGACTTCCCTATCTTTGTGTCTCTCTGCCTTTCAAATCAGTAAATAAATAAATAAGTCATTCAAAACAAAATTAGGCCGGATCCGCAGCTCAGTAGGCTAATCCTCGTCCTGCGGCGCCGGCACCCCGGGTTCTAGTCCCGGCTGGGGCACCGGATTCTGTCCGGTTGCTCCTCTTCCAGTCCAGCTCTCTGCCGTGGCCCGGGAGTACAGTGGAGGATGGCCCAGGTCCTTGGGCCCTGCACCCGCATGGGAGACCAGGAGGAAGCACCTGGCTCCGGGCTTCGGATCAGCATGGTGTACCGGCTGCAGCAGCCATTGGAGGGTGAACCAATGGAAAAGGAATGAGCACAGCATGGGGTTGCTGTCATGGCACAGGGCCCTGTGGCTTAGCCGCCTGCACCTGGCATCAAACTGGAGTCCCTGGCGCTCCACCTCTGACCCAGCTCCATGCTACCAGCCTGGGAAAAGCAGGGGACGGTGGCCCCAAGTGTTTGGGCCCTTGAACCCACCTGGGAGACCTGGGTGGAGCCCCTCTCCTGGTTTCAGCCTGGGTCACTTAAGGCCTTTGTGGCAGCAGAGCTGTGGGCCGGCAGATGGAGGATCTCTCTCTTCTGTCTCTGCCTCTCTCTTGGAAGTCTTTCACTAAATCAATAAAATAATTTCAGCAAAACACTTGTACTAATATTCACCAGAAACAATAGAGCAGAGCAAATGAGCACACCCAAGGAGGCGTCCATGCTAGCAGAGGCACAGGGTAAGCCACAGGGACACACGGCGGCACGCCCGTCAGGACAGCCTGGAGGGACACGGTGGCACATTGCAGGCCGTGGCCCGTCCCTTCATGCCAACAGGGTGGGAACAGGGCAGCTTCCTAGGATGTCAGAGACACACGTGTCTACCCTGCTGGGAACCCTGCACAGAAGGAAGCCTGTGTTCCCACGGAGCCCACCCCGTGAATGTTCACAGCGGCTGTCTGGGCCATAGCAACCCAAATGTCCTCAAGGCGTGCACGGACCACGTCCGGCCTTGCCCCAGAGAGGAGTCGAGTGCTGCCACCCAGCCCCGCCCGGATGAGGGGAAGGAGGCATCTGCACAGACTGCACCGACGACTCCATGGACACGACGTTCCTTTTGGGATTTACTTATTGGAAAAGCTGAGTTGTAGAGACAGAGACATGGAGAGAGAAAGAGAGAGAGGGAGAGAGAGAGAGGGACAGAGAGAGATCTTCCATCCACTATTCACTCCACAAACGGCTTCAAAGGCTGGGACTGGGCCAGGCTGAAGCCAGGAGACTGGACACCATCCTGTGTGGCACGGAGGTGGCAGGCACCCAGGCTCTGGGGCCATCTTCTGCTGCTTTCCCAGGCACATTAGGAGCGGGCTGGACTGGAAGAAGAGCAGCCCACCCTCCAACCGCTGCCCACATGGAATGCCTGTGTCACACACAGTGGCTTAACCCACTGTGCACGGTGCTGGCCCATATAGGACATTCTTGCAAAACACAAACTTGTAGTGGTTTCCAGGGGCTGGGGAGGGGAGGAGGGCAGCCAGAGCGTGGCTGAGGAGTGTGCGGGTGATGGAGCTGGCTGTGTGTGGCAGCTGCTGGTTACAGCCCAGACAAGCCTAAAGCGACGGAGGTGACTATCTTGTGCTGGGATTTTTCTTCTATCTCGTCGTGTGGGGAGGCTATCGGCCTCACTGCTGGGAGAGCCGGGTCAGGGCCCACCTCCACTCCTGCTGGTGTGGCCCCGGGAGGCAGCACTGACAGCTGCACTACCTGGATTCTGCCACTCCCGCGGGAGACCTGGATGCACTTCCTGGCTCCTGGCCTCAGCCCTGGCCCAGCCCTGGCCCAGCTCCGGCCGTGCAGGCCCTCGTCTGCCTGGCAAGTACACAAAGGATCTCTAAGACATAGAAGGCAGGTGCCCGTGCTGCAGCAGCCCCGCCCAGGGCAACACTGGGGTCCCCAGCAGCAGCACGTGACCTCAGGTGGCTGATCTCCCATCAGCCTGCCGGCTCCTCCCAAGCTCAGGGCACAGAGGGCTCCGCTCAGCGCCCCAGGGAGAGCCGTGTTCCTGGAGGGAACTCAGGGTCACAGACACCCGTGGGTCGGCCTGACCAGTGCCTGGGTGGGGTGGCCCGAGGGCGGGCAGCGGCCCCTGCTGCTCTGGTTGTCCCCATTTTGTGACTCTGGGAGGATGAGGACAGTGCAGCACGGCCATGCCGGGATGACCCCTGGGACGGCAGGGCCCCTATCTCCCCTGGACCCAGTGGAGAGACTGCGGCCAACGCCCCTGGAAGGCCCAGCAAGAGTGGTAGCCCCTCACCCGCCTCCCCCACCAGGCCCTGACCTCCCTCTGTCATTGCTCCAGATAAGAGACCCCACCCCCACCGCCCCTTCCCCTCTTCCCCTCTTCCCAGAAGAGCCAGGGCCTGGCTGGACTCTGCTCCCCGTATATAAGGGAGCCTGCGGGCTGAGCACCACCACACCCAGTGCTCAGCACCTCCAGCCCCTGTGCAGCAGCCCAGCCCCGGCCTCACCATGTCTCTGACCAAGAGCGAGAGGACCATCATCATGTCCCTCTGGGACAAGGTCTCCTCCCAGTCTGAGGCCATCGGCACTGAGGCCCTGGAGAGGTAGGTGCCCCATGGGTCGCAGCCTGAGTGTCCAGACCAGGGACGGGGAGAGGTCAGGAGGAGGGACGGTGACGCAGTGGCCAGTCTTCCTGCTCATGGCCTCCACCAGCAGCTGGGGACTGAGTGACAGGAACAGGGGAGCAGGGGCTGGGCTGGGCCGCAGTCCCTGTCTGAAATGCCCGTGTGCGCTCCCTGTGGACTGCACGCTGGGTTTTGCCTTGCAAACACTGCGTGAAAGTGGGCTTCTCCTGACTGCTGGGTGTGGGGCGCCCGCCCCCAGGCTCTTCCTCAGCTTCCCGCAGACCAAGACCTACTTCCCGCACTTCGACCTGCACGCGGGCTCCGCGCAGCTGCGCACTCACGGCGCCAAGGTGGCGGCCGCGCTGGACGACGCAGTCAAGAACATGGACAACTTGGATAGCGCGCTGTCCCCACTAAGAGACCTGCTCGCCTACAAGCTGCGCATTGACCCGGTCAACTTCAGGGTGAGCGCAGAGCACGGGCGACTGGGTGGGACGGGGCCTTGTGGGCAGGGCTGGGCGCGAGGTCCAGGCCGGGATCGGGGTTGGATTCGGGTAGGCTCTTGGTGTCCACCCCTCCGCCTGCTGCTGACCGCCCCCTGGCGCACAGCTCCTGTCCCACTGCCTGCAGGTCACCCTGGCCAGGACCCTGCCTAGAGACTTCACCGCCGAGGCCCAAGCTGCCTGGGACAAGTTCCTGGGCCGAATGTCTGACGTTGAGACCGCTAAGTAGTCCTGAGCGTTCTCCGCACCCCTGGACAGCCGGACACCCCTCCTGTGTCCCTGACCCGCCCGGGCACCCTCTCCACTCCCCAATAAACTCATGCGGAAGGATGAGCTGTGTCCCGCGTTCCTTGTGCCAGGGGAAAGGGGCAGAAGCTGTGCCCAGCAGGCCGGGTCGGTGTCCGCAGTGCGGGCCGACTCCCGCAACCCTAGCGGCTGCACTGGGGATCCAGCCGTTCCCTCCATCCCGGGGAGCATCCCCAGGTCCCTCGGAGAGTTCGAGCGGCACAGGCGCTCTGAGTCCCGCAGGCTGAAGGCTGGGCACTCCTTTGGCACAGGCCGGTCGTTGATCTGATAAGGTCATGCAGGGCGGTGGTGCCGGCGCCGGCCAGGTACAATAAGCGCACCCGCCACATCCGGGTCCCGCTCCAGATCTCTGGCCAGGATCACACATCCGGGAGGTGCTGGGGCACAGTGGGTCCTGCGGGGTTACAGACCCTCAGCGAGGCCAGAGCAGGAACTCAGTTCAGGAGCAGGGAAGAGCTGTCACGGAGCCTCACGGCTGCCTGCAGGTGCTCCTCCCAGGAGCTACAACGGGAGCAGGGGCCTGGCTTCATTCACCCCGAGGCACTCCCTGTGGTCCGTGTGGTTCCTGGGTCTTTTACTTTAAACATGCTAATATACCTCGTGATGTGACAGAGTCTAGACATTACGGGTTTTTTAAAGGAGATTTATTTATTTGAAAGGCAGAGTTACAGAGAAAGAGGCAGAGACAGAGAACAAGAGATCTTCCATCTGCTGGATGGCTCCTCAAATGGCCACAGTGGCCAGGGCTGGGCCAGACCACAGTCAGGCGCCAGGAGCTTCTTCCAGACCTCCCCGTGGGTGCAGGGGCCCAAGCACCCAGGCGTCTCCCACTGCAGTCCCAGGAGCATCAGCAGGGCGCTGGGTCAGAAGTGGAGCCCCCGGGGCCTGAACTGCTGCCCACACGGGACTTGGGCTCCACAGGCAGCATCTTTCCCCGCTACGCCACTACTCCACCCTTAGCCTGAGTCCTAACCGCCTAGCCACACACGGGCCTGAAGGCATGTTGAGGGCAAGCTGAAGGCGGTGCCATGCAGCCTCGTGCTCCCCCTCCCAGCCCTGTCCAGGGGCCCCTCCCCCAATCCGAGTCTCCCCAGGCCCCAGTAAGGAGCTAGGGTACTGGGGCTCCCAGTCTTGGAAACAACTAACACAGTGAGGAGATCCTGGAAGACAGCTCCTGGCTGAGGATCCCAGACTGTGCCGGGGCCGCCAGGCAGATGGCACCCAGCCCTGAAGAGGGGTCCTGGGGCTGGGGTCTTGAGCCTGTTGTGCAGAGCTGCCCCTCCCCCACATACTGAGATCCTGTTCCCAGAGCTGTGAGGGAGGGGCTTAGAGAACTGACCCCACGTTACCTGCAGATATGGGTAAGCTGGACCGGGGAGTTCCCCTGCCTTCTGCCCCCTGCACCCCCCATCCCCGCAGCCCACCCCTGGTCTTTGAATAAAGTCTGAGTGAGTGGCCGACAGTGTCCGTGGAGTCTCTGTGACCTGAGGTGCAGGGCCGGCCTGGGGACACGTCCGTGCAGGTTCCGAGGCCCCTGTGCAGCTGCAGGGGACAGGAGTGGGCAACTGGCTGGTTCCTTCCTTCCTGCTTGCAAGTCCACGAGGGGCTGCTGAAAGAATCCCCCCCCCGACACATGCACACACTCGTGCCACTCGGCTGCCTCCAGCCTGGGTCCCGGGCTGTCCCAGATCTCGGGGGGGCACTGGCTCTCCCTCAGCCTCCCAAACGTACCCACCCACCCACCCACCCACCCACAGTGCAGACAAAACCGGAGGTCGAGTGCAGGCTGCAGATCCCAGCAGCACCCGGGGACGCTCACTCCTAAGACCCTTAGGTCGCGCTTGGGGCCAGTGAGGCCCGGTGCCTACGCGGCCACCCTGGGGCTGGCACCCCTGCCTTGAGGCAGCGGGGGCCCGGGGTGGACAGTGCCCGCGGCAGGCTTCCTTCCTGAAGAGGGAGGTTTGCCGTGCCATCCAGCCCCTGGCTAACACCAGTGTCCTCTCACGCCCAGTCTGGGACTCCTCCTTGGAGGACACCGTGGCAGCCCCTTGGGCACCTCGGGGGCAGTGGGAGCCGTGGGAAGGGGCGTCTTCGCTCCTTGAGAGGAAGGGAGACAGGTGAGGGTGGGGCGGGACAGGTGCACCTGAGCAGGTGAGTGGGCAGACTGTGGTGCCGCCGTAGCCAGGAATGGTGGGGCACCGCCGTATCCGGGAATGGTGGGGCACCGCCGTAGCCGGGAATGGTGGGGCACCGCCGTAGCCGGGAATGGTGGGGCACGGCTGAACCTGCAACACTGCCTGCTGAGGAGCAGCCGGGCGCAGGAGCCCACCCACTGGGGTAGAGACCCCGCTTCTCCGACCAGAAGCCCAGCTCCGTGCAGCTCAGGTTGGGGAGCAGTGGTCATCGATGACCAGGCTGGAGACTCGGCTTCTTAGCCGCTGGCTTGCTTCCTCTGCTCCCGCCTGGGTTTTGTGGTCAGTCAGCAGAAGGGCGGGGGGGGGCTCCAGTGCCCAGGTCTGTGGGGGGGTGGAGGCACTGTGAGGGGACCACTTGGGGGTGCGGCTGGCAGGGCGTGACCCCATGTGCTCTGTGGGTCTCCTGGAGTTCCATTCAGGGACGTGGCCCCCACAAGTGCCAGGGCTCAGCAGTGGGAGACACACTGCCCGGAGGCGGCACACCCACATTAGGTGGACCACAGACGCCAGTCCTCTGCTGGCCCCGGCTGTGTCCGGCTTCCCCTGACCCCCGCGTGCCCTCTCGGGTCCAGGGCCACCTCTGCAGCAAGCAGAGGCGCTCACTTGCCTGGAATCACGGCAGGCCAGTCCTGCTTGGTTTAACCCAGAGTGGACACTGATAAGTGTCATAAGTAGAAAGTATAGCTAATTGGCGTCATGGGTATACAGCTGCTATTTAGTAGGTTAGGAATTTGTGTGTGTGGCTGTCTCTGTAATTACAATTACAACCTCAGTGCCTTAAGTCATCAACACTCAGCTTATAATGTCTGTGTGCATCTTGTTTCATAATTGGATAATGAATCTATATTCAAATTAATGTAACGTTGATTTCTGTCCAAGAAAAATAAATGCAAGCATTTAAAAAATCTATGACTTTTTTTAAAAGTCCACATGTTGAATAATCCCATTTATTAAACACACACACACACACACAACAAGCAAATCCGTGGAAACAGAGAGGAGGTTGGTGGGCTGGAGGAGGGGCTGGAGGCACTGCCCCGGCAGTTTGGGAGTAGAGGTGGGGAGGGTCGCACGCGCTGGCTTGACAGCTCAGTGTGGGAGCTGCAAGGCTCGGCTAGGCACTCAGCAGGTGCAGGTGTTGGCCGCCCGCAACGGAACTCCTGCTGCGAGCCACCCCGACCGACCGCGCGGCGGCCCAGCCCGGGAGTCGCTGTCACCATCTCGCGCAGCGCCCGCGCTCTGCCGGGGTTCCGCGTCCTGTCCAGGTCTCCCTCTGCGCGTGTGCATAACATGTGTCTCCACTGAATGTTTCAAATGTGTGTTTTGCTGAAAGGCCTGGGGTTCAGAGCGAGCCCGAAAGTGGCGGACCGAGACTGCGTGCGTGCGCGGGCCTCCGGGTGCGCGCGGCGGCGCCGCGGGGCGGGACGGGCCTGCGCCACGCCCCCAGAGGCCCGCGGGGACCCGGCCCGCCGCGCCCGCCGCGCCCGCCGCGCCCGCCGCGCCCGCCGCTGCCCGCCGCTGCCCGCCGCTGCGGGATGGCGCTGTCGGCGGCGGAGCGGGCGCTGCTGCGCGCCCTGTGGAAGAAGCTGGGGAGCAACGTGGGCGTCTACGCGACCGAGGCCCTGGAGAGGTGCGCACCGGGAGGGCGCCCCCGGCCCGCCGCGCCCCGCGCCCGCGGGGCCCCCACACGCACCACATCCCCCTCCTCCCGCAGAACCTTGGAGGCCTTCCCGCGCACCAAGATCTACTTCTCCCACATGGACCTGAGCCCGGGCTCCGCCCAGGTCAGAGCCCACGGCCGCAAGGTGGCCGACGCGCTGACCCTCGCCGCAGACCACCTGGACGACCTGCCCGGCGCCCTGTCCGCTCTGAGCGACCTGCACGTGCGCACGCTGCGCGTGGACCCCCACCACTTCGGGGTGAGCGCCGGGACTTCGCCGGGGAGGGGGCTCCCCTAGGCGGGGTGGGGGAGGAGAATCGATGGACCGCGAGCGGGAACGACCCCTCCCTGCAGCTGCTGGGCCACTGTCTGCTGGTGACCCTCGCCCGGCACTACCCTGGAGACTTCGGCCCCGCCATGCACGCCTCGGTGGACAAATTCCTGCACCACGTGATCTCGGCGCTGACCTCCAAGTACCGCTGAATGGAGGGTGGGAGGTCGTGGGACGCCCCGCCCCCCGCGACGCCGTCGTGTTGGAGTAAAGCCCCGGGGCAGCAGCCTGAACCGAGTGCTCCCTGGGGATGCGTGTGTGGGGATGGCCTCGGGTCCGCAAACCAAGGGGCTGGCGGGTTTGGGGCACCAGGTCCCAAATTCCAATTCCTTGGCCTTGGCCAGGAGGGTGGCAGGCGGGAGGTGGTCGGGGGGCTGTTGATGCCCAGTCCAGGCCCTTCGCAGTACTGCTCGCTTAGTCCTCCTGGACTCCGCTCAAACCCAGCTGCACAGGCCTGGTGCCAGGCCGAGGCCCTTCTGTCTCCCGGGGCGGAGTCCGGCCTAGGCCCTGGCAGCCGCACAGCGGACAATCGGGGAAGGGAGCCCCCTGCTGCCCAGCGCAGGAACCGGGCCCTGGACGTCGGAGGTCCGTGGCGAGACAGGACCCCTGGACCAGCCTTGCAGCCCACGGGGCTGGCGGGACCCCACCCCTCCCTGGAAAGCCAGAGCTGCCCTCGCCCAGGATTTTGCCTCAGATGTGCAGTCACGGCCACTGCAGAAACTCCACCTTCTGACCTACTTCTTCGAGGTCCACGTGACACTCGGCAAACTCACTCCTGCACGGCAGTACCGCTCGGCAGAAGCAGCCACATGGAGACACACAGCATTCTTTTGAGAGGGTTGATTTGAGAGGCAGAGTGACGAGGGGTGGGGTGGGGGAAGGTCTTCCACCGCTGGTTCACTCCCCAGACCTGCGATGTCCGAGGCCAGGAACCTGGAGCTCCATCCGGGTCTCCGACCGCATCTGCCCTCCCCGGCACCTGGATCAGAAGTGCACAGGAGCTGGGACTTGAGCCAGGCACTGCTACGTGGGACAAGGATGTCTGTAAACTGTGGTTTCTGGGGCGCCTGCGAGGTGTTCCCAGGAGAGAAGCGAGCTCAGGGGAAGATCCGCCGGCGTGGGTGTCGGGCCTAGCAGCCGAGATGCCCAGGCTGTGCCAGGACTTGATGCCTGGCTCCTGCGGACTCTGGGGGGTGACAGTCACTTCAAGCACCTGGGCCCCTGCCACCCATGTGGGAGCCCTGCATTTCCAGTCTGGGCTCCTGGCGTTGGCTTGGCCCGGCCACCGCCACTGCGGGCACCGGCAGTGAGCCAGATGGAAGGTCGTCCTTTTCACATAAATATTTGTGTAGTTTGGTGGGGTTTAGTGTATTTGCAGTGCTGGGTGCCCTGGCTCACCACGTTCTGGAACTTTTCTTCTTTAAAGATTTGTCCATTTGTAAGCAGCTGGGACTGGGCCAGGCTGAAGCCAGGAGCCTCCGGCATTCGTGGCAGGGGCCCAGCTGCTGCCTCCCCAGGGGCGTTAGTGGGACGCTGGGTTGGGAACTGAGCAGCTGGGCCTCAAACCAACACTGACACGAGCTTAACCCGCGAGCCCCATCGGGGCACCGAGACCGCAACTTCTAGAGGACCACAATGCTGACGACGGTGCTTTGTCTGCCAAGACGCCCATGCAGTGTGGCGCAGGTGTTTAGCTCAGCTGTTAGGGAGCTCCTCGCTCCGGCTTCTCGCGCATGTAGTGCCGGCTCAAGTCGTTGGGTTCCTGCCCCGCACATGGGAGACCCGCACTCAACTCCTGTCTCCCAGAGAGAAGTTAACTACTGGAGGAGGGCTCTCCATTTACCTCCGAAACAATAAATTTAAAAACTATTTTTAAAGATTTATTTGAAAGGCAGAGTTTCAGGGAGAGACAGAGACTGAGTGAGATCTTCCATCTGATGTTTCACTCCACTAATGGCAGCGATAGCAGGAGCAGGGTGGATCCGCAGCTGGGAGCCAGGAGCCGGGAACTTCCTCCACGTCTCCCAGTGGGTGCAGGGGCCCAAGCACCAGGCGTCTCCCACTGCAGTCCCAGGAGCATCAGCAGGGCGCTGGGTCAGAAGTGGAGCCCCCGGGGCCTGAACTGCTGCCCACACGGGACTTGGGCTCCACAGGCAGCATCTTTCCCCGCTACGCCACTACTCCACCCTTAGCCTGAGTCCTAACCGCCTAGCCACACACGGGCCTGAAGGCATGTTGAGGGCAAGCTGAAGGCGGTGCCATGCAGCCTCGTGCTCCCCCTCCCAGCCCTGTCCAGGGGCCCCTCCCCCAATCCAAGTCTCCCCAGGCCCCAGTAAGGAGCTAGGGTACTGGGGCTCCCAGTCTTGGAAACAACTAACACAGTGAGGAGATCCTGGAAGACAGCTCCTGGCTGAGGATCCCAGACTGTGCCGGGGCCGCCAGGCAGATGGCACCCAGCCCTGAAGAGGGGTCCTGGGGCTGGGGTCTTGAGCCTGTTGTGCAGAGCTGCCCCTCCCCCACATACTGAGATCCTGTTCCCAGAGCTGTGAGGGAGGGGCTTAGAGAACTGACCCCACGTTACCTGCAGATATGGATAAGCTGGGGTCGGGGAGTTCCCCTGCCCCCTGTCCCCTCCCGCATCCCCACTCTGCACCCCACCCCTGGTCTTTGAATAAAGCTTGAATGTCAGTGGAGTCTCTGTGTCCCTGAGGTGGGGGAGATGGGCTGGAGGACTCCACGGGCACACACTGACCCCCTCTGCAGAAGCTGTGGGGCAGGAGTGGGCAGGGGAGGAGGCCCCAGACTTCCTCAGGGGGAAAGGTGTCCGGGGCCAGCACCCTCCTTTGAAATATGGCCAACTACATCACACCCACCAAACAGAAGCAGGCTGTCCTACACAGAGGCAGCCACCAGAAATCCTCTCTCACTGACACCCATCCCCTGGAACCAGGGCCCCGGGTTGGAGAGTTCGTGTCGGGGGCTCACCTCCCCTCCTCTGTTGCACAGCCCCAGAGCCAGGCCCTGGGCAGGCCCCTGGTGCCCTGCTTCCTGAGTCCTGCAGGCTGGCCAGGAGCTCACTGTGTGCCCAGGCCTCTGGCATCTCCCTCGTCCACGGCTGGCACCCCTGGAACTGGCCCCTGTCCTAGTGCAGACAGCCCAGACTCCGGCAGCTCTGGCACACCTTCCTGGCTGAATGCCCTGGGAGCGCCATCGGGCGTTTAGCCTGGCCCAACCCCAGCACAAGCCTGGGCACCAGCCCTCGTAGCACTCTGGGCAGTGTCAGGCCCTGGCACCACTTTCTCTGCCATGGCCCCGGCTGAGCCGTTGGCAGCTCCCTCCCCACCACCAACTCCCCCTGCACAGCCCCATCCATCTTCACTCAATATAGAAAAACATTGAAGAAATAACCAGGGGTGGGTGTTGGCACAGTGAGAAGTCACACCCACATCCCTGAGTGCCTGGGTCTGGGTCCTGGCTCCATGTGCGTCAGATCCATTTCTTGCACATGCACCCTGGGAAGGAGGGAGGTGATGACTCAAGGACTTGGGTTCCTGACAGGCACTGGAGACACTGGCTCCCGGCTTAGGCCAGCACAGCTGGAGCTGTTGCAGCTCTTTGGGAAGTGAACCAGTGGGTGGGAGTGCTACCTCCCTTACTCTCTTCTCTCTGCCTTTCAAATACAGAAACATCTTGACAGAGAGAGAGACAGAGAGAGAGACAGAGAGAGACAGAGACAGAGAGACAGAGACAGGATCAGGCGTTGTGTGTGCCCTGATGAAGCACCCTTGGGAGGCCTGCATGTCGTACCAGAGTGCCCGTTGAAGCCCTGCTGCTTCCCTCCCTCAGCTCCCTGGGATGCAGTGGGTGACGACCCCTGCACTTAGGGCCCTGCCACCCAGGTGCGACCCGGATGGAGTTCCTCCTGGTTTGCCCAGCTCAGCCCAGTGAAAGCATATGGGGAGTGAAGTAGCAGATGGGAGACCAATCCGAGGACTTCCCTATCTTTGTGTCACTCTGCCTTTCAATTCAGTACATAAATAAATAAGTCATTCAAAACAAAATTAGGCCGGATCCGCAGCTCAGTAGGCTAATCCTCGGCCTGCGGCGCCGGCACCCCGGGTTCTAGTCCCGGCTGGGGCACCGGATTCTGTCCGGTTGCTCCTCTTCCAGTCCAGCTCTCTGCCCTGGCCCGGGAGTGCAGTGGAGGATGGCCCAGGTCCTTGGGCCCTGCACCCGCATGGGAGACCAGGAGGAAGCACCTGGCTCCGGGCTTCGGATCAGCATGGTGTACCGGCCGCAGCAGCCATTGGAGGGTGAACCAATGGAAAAGGAATGAGCACAGCATGGGGTTGCTGTCATGGCACAGGGCCCTGTGGCTTAGCCGCCTGCACCTGGCATCAAACTGGAGTCCCTGGCGCTCCACCTCTGACCCAGCTCCATGCTACCAGCCTGGGAAAAGCAGGGGACGGTGGCCCCAAGTGTTTGGGCCCTTGAACCCACCTGGGAGACCTGGGTGGAGCCCCTCTCCTGGTTTCAGCCTGGGTCACTTAAGGCCTTTGTGGCAGCAGAGCTGTGGGCCGGCAGTGGAGGATCACTCTCTTTCCCTGTCTCTCCCGCTCTCTTGGAAGTCTTTCAATAAATCAATAAAAGAGAAGGAAGCCTGTGTTCCCACGGAGCCCACCCCGTGAATGTTCACAGCGGCTGTCTGGGCCATAGCAACCCAAATGTCCTCAAGGCGTGAACGGACCACGTCCGGCCTTGCCCCAGAGAGGAGTCGAGTGCTGCCGCCCAGCCCCGCCCGGATGAAGGGGAAGGAGGCATCTGCACAGACTGCACCGACGACTCCATGGACACGACGTTCCTTTTGGGATTTACTTATTGGAAAAGCTGAGTCGTAGAGACAGAGACATGGAGAGAGAAAGAGAGAGAGGGACAGAGAGAGAGAGGGACAGAGAGAGAGGGACAGAGAGAGAGGGACAGAGAGAGAGAGGGACAGAGAGAGATCTTCCATCCAGGGTTCACTCCACAAACGGCTTCGAAGGCTGGGACTGGGCCAGGCTGGAGCCAGGAGCCTGATTCCATCCTGTGTGGCACGGAGGTGGCAGGCACCCAGGCTCTGGGGCCATCTTCTGCTGCTTTCCCAGGCACTGTAAGAGGGAGCTGGACTGTGTGGCAGGAAGGAACAGGGGAGCCCTGGCTCGGCTGGGCCGCAGTCCCTGTCTGAAATGCCCGTGTGCGCTCCCTGTGGACTGCACGCTGGGTTTTGCCTTGCAAAGACTGTGTAAAATGTGCTTTCCTGACTGCCGGGTGTGGGGCCCCCTCCCCCGGCTCTTCCTCAGATTCCCAAATACCAGGACCCACTTCTCGCACATCCCCCGCATACGGTCGGCGCAGGTGCACACTCATGGCGTCAAGCTGGCATGGCGGTGGACAACGCGGTCAAGAACATGGACAACTTGGATGGCACGCTGTCCACGCTGAGGCACACGCTCCCCTACATGCTTCGCGTGGACCCGGTCAACTTCAGGGTGAGCGCAGAGCGCAGACTCCCTCCTGTGGGCAGGGTTGGTGTCTGGGGCTGCCCACCCGCCCTGACTGCCCCCTGCCACGCAGCTGCTGCCCAACTGCCTGCTGGTCACCCTGGCCGGGTACCTGTCCAGGGACTTCACCGCCGAGTCGCAACTCACATGGGACAAGTTCCTGCGCCACGTGTTCATCATCCCGACCGAGAAGTACCCCTGAGAGCACTCAGCACCCCTGGACAGCCGGACACCCCTCCCGTGTCCCTGACCCGCCCGGGCACCCTCTCCACTCCCCAATAAACTCATGCGGAAGGATGAGCTGTGTCCCGCGTTCCTTGTGCCAGGGGAAAGGGGCAGAAGCTGTGCCCAGCGGGCCGGGTCGGTGTCCACAGTGCGGGCCGACTCCCGCGACCCTAGGGGCTGCACTGGGGATCCGGCTGCTCTCTCCATCCCGGGGAGCATCCCCAGGTGCCTCGGAGAGTTCGAGCGGCACAGGCGCTCTGAGTCCCGCAGGCTGAAGGCTGGGCACTCCTTTGGCACAGGCCGGTCGTTGATCTGATAAGGTCATGCAGGGCGGTGGCGCCGGCGCATCCGGGTCCCGCTCCAGATCTCTGGCCGGGATCGCACATCCGGGAGGTGCTGCGGCGCCAGTAGGTCCTGCGGGGTTACAGACCCTCAGCGAGGCCAGAGCAGGAACTCAGTTCAGGAGCAGGGAAGAGCTGTCACTAGCCGTCAAGTCAGCTAAGGCCTTCGTGGCAGCAGAGCTGTGGGCCGGCAGATGGAGGAGCTCTCTCTTCTGTCTCTGCCTCTCTCTTGGAAGTCTTTCACTAAATGAATAAAATAATTTCAGCAAAACACTTGTACTAATATTCACCAGAAACAATAGAGCAGAGCAAATGAGCACACCCAAGGAGGCGTCCATGCTAGCAGAGGCACAGGGTGAGCCACAGGGACACACGACGGCACGCTGTCAGGACAGCCCGGAGGGACACGGTGGCACATTGCAGGCCATGGCCCGTCCCTTCATGCCAACAGGGTGGGAACAGGGCAGCTTCCTAGGATGTCAGAGACACACGTGTCTACCCTGCTGGGAACCCTGCACAGAAGGAAGCCTGTGTTCCCACGGAGCCCACCCTGTGAATGTTCACAGCGGCTGTCTGGGCCTTAGCAACCCAAATGTCCTCAAGGCGTGCACGGACCACGTCCGGCCTTGCCCCAGAGAGGAGTCGAGTGCTGCCGCCCAGCCCCGCCCGGATGAGGGGAAGGAGGCATCTGCACAGACTGCACCGACGACTCCATGGACACGACGTTCCTTTTGGGATTTACTTATTGGAAAAGCTGAGTTGTAGAGACAGAGACATGGAGAGAGAAAGAGAGAGAGGGAGAGAGAGAGAGGGACAGAGAGAGAGAGGGACAGAGAGAGAGAGGGACAGAGAGAGAGACGACAGAGAAAGAGAGGGACAGAGAGAGAGGGACAGAGAGAGATCTTCCATCCAGGGTTCACTCCACAAACGGCTTCGAAGGCTGGGACTGGGCCAGGCTGGAGCCAGGAGCCTGGACACCATCCTGTGTGGCACGGAGGTGGCAGGCACCCAGGCTCTGGGGCCATCTTCTGCTGCTTTCCCAGGCACATTAGGAGCGGGCTGGACTGGAAGAAGAGCAGCCCACCCTCCAACCGCTGCCCACATGGAATGCCTGTGTCACACACAGTGGCTTAACCCACTGTGCACGGTGCTGGCCCATACAGGACATTCTTGCAAAACACAAACTTGTAGTGGTTTCCAGAGGTTGGGAGGGGAGGAGGGCAGCCAGAGCGTGGCTGAGGAGTGTGCGGGTGATGGAGCTGGCTGTGTGTGGCAGCTGCTGGTTACAGCCCAGACAAGCCTAAAGCGACGGAGGTGACTATCTTGTGCTGGGATTTTTCTTCTATCTCGTCGTGTGGGGAGGCTATCGGCCTCACTGCTGGGAGAGCCGGGTCAGGGCCCACCTCCACTCCTGCTGGTGTGGCCCCGGGAGGCAGCACTGACAGCTGCACTACCTGGATTCTGCCACTCCCGCGGGAGACCTGGATGCACTTCCTGGCTCCTGGCCTCAGCCCTGGCCCAGCCCTGGCCCAGCTCCTGCCGTCCAGGCCCTCGTCTGCCTGGCAAGTACACAAAGGATCTCTAAGACATAGAAGGCAGGTGCCCGTGCTGCAGCAGCCCCGCCCAGGGCAACACTAGGGTCCCCAGCAGCAGCACGTGACCTCAGGTGGCTGATCTCCCATCAGCCTGCCGGCTCCTCCCAAGCTCAGGGCACAGAGGGCTCCGCTCAGCGCCCCAGGGAGAGCCGTGTTCCTGGAGGGAACTCAGGGTCACAGACACCCGTGGGTCGGCCTGACGAGTGCCTGGGTGGGGTGGCCCAAGGGCGGGCAGCGGCCCCTGCTGCTCTGGTTGTCCCCATTTTGTGACTCTGGGAGGATGAGGACAGCGCAGCACGGCCATGCCGGGATGACCCCTGGGACGGCAGGGCCCCTATCTCCCCTGGACCCAGTGGAGAGACTGCGGCCAACGCCCCTGGAAGGCCCAGCAAGAGTGGTAGCCCCTCACCCGCCTCCCCCACCAGGCCCTGACCGCCTCTGTCATGGTGCCCAATAACAGACCCCACCCCCACAGCCCCTTCTGCTCCTCCCCTCTTCCCAGAAGCAGCCAGGGCCTGGCTGGACTCTGCTCCCCGTATATAAGGGAGCCTGCGGACTGAGCACCACCACACCCAGTGCTCAGCACCTCCAGCCCCTGTGCAGCAGCCCAGCCCCGGCCTCACCATGTCTCTGACCAAGAGCGAGAGGACCATCATCATGTCCCTCTGGGACAAGGTCTCCTCCCAGTCTGAGGCCATCGGCACTGAGGCCCTGGAGAGGTAGGTGCCCCATGGGTCACAGCCTGAGTGTCCAGACCAGGGACGGGGAGAGGTCAGGAGGAGGGACGGTGACGCAGTGGCCAGTCTTCCTGCTCATGGCCTCCACCAGCAGCTGGGGACTGAGTGGCAGGAACAGGGGAGCAGGGGCTGGGCTGGGCCGCAGTCCCTGTCTGAAATGCCCGTGTGCGCTCCCTGTGGACTGCACGCTGGGTTTTGCCTTGCAAACACTGCGTGAAAGTGAGCTTCTCCTGACTGCTGGGTGTGGGGCACCCACCCCCAGGCTCTTCGTAAGCTATCCGAAGTCCAAGCCCAGCTTCCCCCACTTTGAACTGCAAGAGGGCTCCGCGCAACTGCGGGCTTATGGAGCCGAAGTGGCGGCCGCGCTGGACGACGCAGTCAAGAACATGGACAACTTGGATAGCGCGCTGTCCCCACTAAGAGACCTGCTGGCCTATAAGCTGCGCATTGACCCGGTCAACTTCAGGGTGAGCGCAGAGCACGGGCGACTGGGTGGGACGGGGCCTTGTGGGCAGGGCTGGGCGCGAGGTCCAGGCCGGGATCGGGGTTGGATTCGGGTAGGCTCTTGGTGTCTACCTCTCCGCCCTCTGCTGACTGCCCCCTGCTGTGCAGTTCCTGTCCCACAGCTTGCAGGTCACCCTGGCCAGGACCCTGCCCAGAGACTTCACCGCCGAGGCCCAAGCTGCCTGGGACAAGTTCCTGGGCCGAATGTCTGACGTCGAGACCGCTAAGTAGTCCTGAGCGTGGCTCCGCACCCCTGGACAGCCGGACACCCCTCCCGTGTCCCTGACCCGCCCGGGCACCCTCTCCACTCCCCAATAAACTCATGCAGAAGGATGAGCTGTGTCCCGCGTTCCTTGTGCCAGGGGAAAGGGGCAGAAGCTGTGCCCAGCGGGCCGGGTCGGTGTCCGCAGTGCGGCTGCACTGGGGATCCGGCCGCTCCCTCCATCCCGGGGAGCATCCCCAGGTCTCTCGGAGAGTTCGAGCGGCACAGGCGCTCTGAGTCCCGCAGGCTGAAGGCTGGGCACTCCTTTGGCACAGGCCGGTCGTTGATCTCATAAGGTCATGCAGGGCGGTGGCGCCGGCGCCGGCCAGGTACAATAAGTGCACCCGCCACATCCGGGTCCCGCTCCAGATCTCTGGCCAGGATCACACATCCGGGAGGTGCTGGGGCACAGTGGGTCCTGCGGGGTTACAGACCCTCAGCGAGGCCAGAGCAGGAACTCAGTTCAGGAGCAGGGAAGAGCTGTCACGGAGCCTCACGGCTGCCTGCAGGTGCTCCTCCCAGGAGCTACAACGGGAGCAGGGGCCTGGCTTCATTCACCCCGAGGCACTCCCTGTGGTCCGTGTGGTTCCTGGGTCTTTTACTTTAAACATGCTAATATACCTCGTGATGTGACAGAGTTTAGACATTACGGGTTTTTTAAAGGAGATTTATTTATTTGAAAGGCAGAGTTACAGAGAAAGAGGCAGAGACAGAGAACAAGAGATCTTCCATCTGCTGGATGGCTCCTCAAATGGCCACAGTGGCCAGGGCTGGGCCAGACCACAGTCAGGCGCCAGGAGCTTCTTCCAGACCTCCCCGTGGGTGCAGGGGCCCAAGCACCCAGGCGTCTCCCACTGCAGTCCCAGGAGCATCAGCAGGGCGCTGGGTCAGAAGTGGAGCCCCCGGGGCCTGAACTGCTGCCCACACGGGACTTGGGCTCCACAGGCAGCATCTTTCCCCGCTACGCCACTACTCCACCCTTAGCCTGAGTCCTAACCGCCTAGCCACACACGGGCCTGAAGGCATGTTGAGGGCAAGCTGAAGGTGGTGCCATGCAGCCTCGTGCCCGCCCCGGCCCTGTCCAGGGGCCCCTCCCCCAATCCGAGTCTCCCCAGGCCCCAGTAAGGAGCTAGGGTACTGGGGCTCCCAGTCTTGGAAACAACTAACACAGTGAGGAGATCCTGGAAGACAGCTCCTGGCTGAGGATCCCAGACTGTGCCGGGGCGGCCAGGCAGATGGCACCCAGCCCTGAAGAGGGGTCCTGGGGCTGGGGTCTTGAGCCTGTTGTGCAGAGCTGCCCCTCCCCCACATACTGAGATCCTGTTCCCAGAGCTGTGAGGGAGGGGCTTAGAGAACTGACCCCACATTACCTGCAGATATGGGTAAGCTGGACCGGGGAGTTCCCCTGCCTTCTGCCCCCTGCACCCCCCATCCCCGCAGCCCACCCCTGGTCTTTGAATAAAGTCTGAGTGAGTGGCCGACAGTGTCCGTGGAGTCTGTGACCTGAGGTGCAGGGCCGGCCTGGGGACACGTCCGTGCACGTGCCGAGGCCCCTGTGCAGCTGCAGGGGACAGGAGTGGGCAACCGGCTGGTTCCTTCCTTCCTGCTTGCAAGTCCACGAGGGGCTGCTGAAAGAATCCCCCCCCCGACACATGCACACACTCGTGCCACTCGGCTGCCTCCAGCCTGGGTCCCCGGCTCCCCCAGGATCTCGGGGGGGCACTGGCTCTCCCTCAGCCTCCCAAACGTACCCACCCACCCACCCACCCACCCACGGTGCAGACAAAACCGGAGGTCGAGTGCAGGCTGCAGATCCCAGCAGCACCCGGGGACGCTCACTCCTAAGACCCTTAGGTCGCGCTTGGGGCCAGTGAGGCCCGGTGCCCACGTGGCCACCCTGGGGCTGGCACCCCTGTCCTGAGGCAGTAAGGGGCAGAGTTTCAGGGAGAGACAGAGACTGAGCGAGATCTTCCATCTGCTGTTTCACTCCACAAACGGCTGCGACGGCCGGAGCTGGGTGGACCCGAAGCTGGGATCTCCTGCAGGTCTCCCAGGTGGGTGAGGGCCGTCTCCCACTGCAGTCCCAGAAGCATCAGCAGGGAACAGGATCACAAGTGGAGCAGCCAGGACTTGAACCAGTGTCCATATGGGATGTGGCTTTACCCACTACCCCATGGCACATTCCTGCGCCCCCACCCCAGTCAACTGAAGTCTGAGACGGGGCCCAGGAACCATGGCAATGAGTCAGCCTCCCCAGAGCAGGACCAGACAGCTTCCACCGCAAAGTGCCCTCCACGCCTCCCCTTCCCCCGCGGCACCACAGCAGGCAACACCCTCCCAGTGAAGCCCTGCAGCTCCCAGCGCCCAGCACCCGCGCCTGTGCGATGCAGTAAGGCCCAGGACCCGCCAGTACAGCCAGCGTGGGCCTCCCACCCCGACTATCGCTCTAGAGCTGGCTGGAGACCCACGCGTGTGCCTGTGCCCCACGGAGACTCCCATGGCCCACACGAGGTGCCCACCACCGTCCTCACTCCTGGTGTGGCTGGAGAGGACCTTGAGACAAGAGTGGCCAGGGCACCGGTTCTAGTCTCAGCTGCTCCAGCCCAGATCCAGCTCCCTGCGGATGCGCCCGGGAAAGCAACACAAGATGGCTCAGGGGCCAGCGCAGAGTCGCAGTGAGTTAATCCTCCAGCTGTGGCACGGATGTCCCATGTGGGCGCCAGTTCTAGTTCTAGTCCTGGCTGCTGCTTTTCTGACCCAGCTCTCTGCCGCGGCCTGGGAAAGCAGTGGAGGGTGGCCCGAGTGCCTGGGCCCTGTACCCCCGAGGAAGAAGCTGACTGTTACAGGCTTCGGATCCGCCCAGCTCCGGCCATTGTGGCCACCTGGGGAGTGAACCGGTGGATGGAGGACCTCTCTCTGTGTCTCTACCTCTCATAAATAAATAAAAGCTTTAACAATAAATAAGAATAATAAAGATGGCTCATATCCCTGGGCCCATACACCCACCTGGAGACTGAAAGCTCCTGGCTCCAGCCTGGCCAAACCCTGGCCATTGTGAGCCGGCAGATGAGCTCATTCTGCCTTTCAAACTAATAAGCCTTAAAAACAGAAGAGTGGCCAGGGCAGGACTCCTCCAGGGTGACCCAAAGCAGCCGAGTCCACCGTGACCTCAGATGGGCTCACCAGGCTCATTTACTTCCCACATTTTTGTATCCCAAACTAAAGGGTGAGAGAGAAGGCGGCTCCCAGCCCATGAGCTCCCCTCCGCTGGGCCTCACGTGTATGGAAAACTTCCAGGGCCGAGTGCACCCTATCACCCTGACACCACCCTCAGACCCACCGTACTGAGCCTGGTGGGTGGACACCTGATGGGGTGGGGGCAGACCAGCAGCACTGAGGGCAGTGGAGCCAGACCCCAGGACTGGGGAGGACAGGCTCTGCCGGCCCCAGACCCCAGGACCGGGGAGGACAGCCCTGCCGGCCCCAGCTGCCTTCAGGTGGCACCCCAAGCTCTCTCAGTCCAGGGGTCTCCCCTCTGCCATTTCAGAACCCCCCCTCCAGCACGTGGTGGTAAAGGCTGCACAGTGTGAACAAACCAACTGTACACTTGAAAATGGTGAGGACGATACACTTTAAATTTTTTTTCAAATTTATTTATTTGAAAGAGTTACGAAGACAAAGAGGGACAGAGAGGTCTCCCATCTGCTGGCTCACTCCCTAAACGGCTGCTCAACACCAGGTTGAAGCCAGGAGCTTCTTCAAGTCTCCTGCTGCTTTTCCAGACGTGAGCAGGGAGCCGGGACACACGCTGCTGCTCTTACGGGAAGCTGGAGCTGGAGGCGGCGGCTCCATCAGCTGCGCCGCAACACGGGCCCCACCATGCTCTTAAAGAGCACCCACATCCCCAGGGGCGGGCAGGTGGGGGTTCTCCAGCCCTCACGCCCCACCCTCCCAGGGGTACTGCCCAAGCTGGGGTCCTCTGCCTGCACCACGGCACCACGGGCCACCCTGAGCACTCGCTCCGGTCCCCATCCTCTTGCAGGACCACCTTGGCCGCCCCACGGCTTCCCAACGACCGTCTGCTCCCCAAGGCTGGCCACACCTCCAAGGCCCAGACCTTGCAGCTTCTCGATGAGGGGCCCTGCATGCAACATCGAGGACCGCTGTAGGAAGGGAGCAGGACCCTGGGCCCCCCAGTGCAGGCCACGGGGCCGGGTGCAGGCAGGATATCTGGGGGCAGGAAAGGCCTCTGGAGGTCAAGAGTTCAAGCTGACGAGCACCACCGGACGTGTACGTGGCACTGACAGAACTGTTCCCACACAGTGAGCGGCAGGAGTGTGGCTACAGGCTCTCCTCCCCTGGTGGGGCTACCAGAGGCCACAGCATCAACACTGCTGCTTTGGGGGGCTCAGCTGGTGCCAGCGTACAGAGAACACAGGATGTGGGTAACTCCACTCCCCGAGACTGCAGTGTAACTATCTGACCACACAGGCATTACTAGATAGAGAAGGGTCCACAGTGGTAGCTGGCTCCGAGGGAGGGCTGCCTGGGCGATGTCCGGGCAGTGCCTGCCTCGCTGGCCACCGCCTCAGTCAGCCTGGGATGGCTGCTGGGCGCACTGGGTAAAGCTGCTGCTGGGGACGTCGGATCCAGCTTCCGCCAATACGTACCTTCGGCTGCAGTGCTTGGTGCGCAGGACCTGCGTGGTAGACCCACACGGCATTAGGGGCTTCTGGCTGAGCCTGGCCCAGTCCCAGCTGCTGAAGCCATCTGAGGAATGAACCAGAGGATGGAAGACCTTTTTCTTTCAGTTACAGAGAGAGGGAGGGAGAGAGCTATCTTCCATCCACTGGTTCACTCCCCAAATGACCTCAAGAACAGCTGGAGGGGGGCAGTGCTGTGGGGCAGCGGGTAAAGCCACCGCCTGCAGTGCCAACATCCCATACAGGCGGAGGTTCTCATCCTGGCTGCTCCACTTCCCATGCAGCTCTCTGCTGTGGCCTGGGAAAGCAGTAGAAGATGGCCCAGGTCCTTGGCCCCTACATCTGTGTGGGAGACGCTCCTGGCTCCTAATCAGCACAGCTCTGGCCCTTGCGGCCATTTGGGGAGTGAACCAGTGGATACAAAAGCCCCCACCCCCACCTCTGCCTCTAACTCTGCCTCTCAAATAAATAAATAAATAAATCTTTCAAAAGAAAAAAAAAAAAAAAAAAAAAACCAGCTGCGCGAGTCTTAAACCAGGAGCTTCTTCTGGGTCTCCCACATGGGTGCAGGACCCAAGCACTTGGGCCATCGTCCATCTCTTTCCCAGGCCACAGCAGGGAGCTGGATGGGAAGTGGAGCAGCTGGGAGTTGAACCGGCCCCACATGGGATGCCGGTGTCTCAGGCAACAGCTTAAGCTCCAGGGAGATCTTTCTTAGTCTTTCTGCTGCTCTGCCTTTCAAGCAGATGAAAACAAACAGGCCGGCGCCGCGGCTCAGTAGGCTAATCCTCACCTAGTGGCCCTAGCACACCGGGTTCTAGTCCGGGTTGGGGTGCCGGATTCTGTCCTGGTTGCTCCTCTTCAAGGCCAGCTCTCTGCTGTGGCCCGGGAGTGCAGTAGAGGATGGCCCAAGTGCTTGGGCCCTGCACCCCATGGGAGACCAGGAGAAGCACCTGGCTCCTGCCTTCAGATCAGCGCAGTGCGCCGGCGGCAGCGTGCCAGCCGTGCTGGCCATTGGAGGGTGAACCAACGGCAAGGGAAGACCTTTCTCTGTGTCTCTCTCACTGTCCACTCTGCCAGGAAAGGAAAGGAAAAAGGAAAGGAAAAAGGAAAAAGGAAAGGAAAGGGAAAAGGAAAGAACCATGCCCACATGTCACCCTGCAAGGGGAAGCTACAGCAGGAGAGCGTGGGTGGGACCATCAGCCATGTCACCACTGTGATGGCCCCCAAACCCACACGACAGCGCTCACAGCCAACCAGCTCCAAGGCAGCTTTGCACCTCCGCAGAGACAGACAGGACGGGGTGACTCCAGGTCTCCATACTGTGCCCATCAGAAGCTTCCTCCAAAAACACCTTCCTAGCACTTCACTCTGGTCTCCTCCTCCTTCAGGGGCAATGACTGACCTATGTTCTGACAGGCAGACAGAGAATGGAGGGAAGCACGGGGAGAGGCAGACAGAGACCTGTAACCTGCTGGTTCACTCCTCGGGTGGCAGCAAAGCCAGGGCTGGGCCAGGCTGAGGCCAAGAGGTGGGAACTCCACAGCTGGGCAAGTACTTGAGCCATCGTCCACTGCTTTTCAATTACGAAAGCAGCAAGCTGCAACAGAGGTGGAGCGGCCAGGACTCCAATGCGGGACGCTGGCATCACGGGCGCTGGCTGGACCAGCCGTGCCACACCAGCCCCCACTCTGGTCTCAAAGTACCCATCTAGGCAGAGCAGCACAAAGAGCGGGCAGAGCACACAACAGTCAGGCCACACAAACGGGCCAAGGGGGACGGCTGCCACATGGGTGTCACCCGAGGTCTGCTTCAGTCCTGAATACACTCAGAGGGGGGCTACAGTCCAGGAGAGGCGGCAGCAACAGCCTCGGCCTGGCCGGTTCGTTCTTTTCTTTATGCCTCCTCCCTGCTGGGGCCTGCGCTGGCCCTGCACCGAGAGGCAGAGACGTGCAACCCAGACACCCAGCAAGCAAGGCCGGGAGCTGGGCAAGCCCCGCCCTCTGCGCACACCACCCAGGCCCTCCAGCGGAGAACAGAGTCAATGGAGGCGGCCCGTCAGATTCCTTTATTCCCGTTCAGCACGATGCTGGAACACAGGAGCGACCGCACAGCTCTACGACGCACAGCTAGCTCCAAAACAACAGCAAGTTTAAACTACAAAAGATGAGCTGTATTCAGCAAATAGAAAGGGGAGCCGTAGGCTGTGCTGACCGCCGATCGGACTATATACAGTGCCGGGGCTCAGGTTCAGATCTCCCCAGCCTCCTTCTCCTCCGACTTCCGGGACGCCGACTTCCCGTTGGAGCTCTCCAGCCGCCAGTCGATGGCCCCCCGCTCGCTGCGCCCACACTCCCAGGACTCCTCCCTCGAAGCCCGTTCTCTGGAGAACCTGGGAAATGGGCACCGAGGGTCAGCGCAGGGTTCTGCTCAGGAACCCACAACAGCAGCTCTCGGCGCCAGGCTGGGGAAGCCGTGCACCCCAGGCCGCTGTGCTGTGCACAGCCCCTCTCACAGTAGCAGCTAATAAGTGACATCTACGAAGATGTTCACTGAGAGGGAAAGCTCCTAGAACAAACAACGCAGGAGAACACGACCCACCGCGTGGGAAGCCAGCAGAGAGCAGGGCCTGGCAGGACCCCAGTCTCCACTGCGGTTCAGCCGAGCTCTGTACAGGGCACACAGGAGCTCCTGCCCAGGCCCCGGCTCCCAGGGTCTCAGTCACCACTCCCCAAGGCCCGAAAACCTGGGGCACAGCCGCCTGGCCCTGTCACTACCAGGAAGGCCAGAGGGCCTGGCTGCCCGAGCCCCAGCAGACCCTGGCAACACGACGAGGAGGGGCTCGCTCCTGGTGGCAGCTACCCAAGGAGTCATGGTAGTTACTTGTATTTCGCACTCCTGTCCCGGGAAACCCGGCGGTGACCCCGGCTGTGGCTCCGCGAACGGCTGCGGTGGCGTCGGTGTCTGTCTCGGGACCGGGACCGGGAAGACTTCCTCCGCTCTCGGGAGGCAGACCTTGACCGCCTTCGACGCCGCTCCCGGGAACGTGACCTGGAAAAGTCCAGAAGACTCAGAGGGATGAGAGGCCAAAGGCGCCCAGCACCCCAGGACGCACCCGGACGCCTTCCTCCCTCGCAAGTTCTCCCAGTCCTCTCATCAATGTATGCTTTAGATGAACACAGTCTCTTGGGTTAGCATCTGCTGGCCAGCCCCGCGACCCTCATGATGCCTCCCGAAAACACTCCCCGGACGTGCAGGCCGAGGAGCAGCCGTGCCCTTCCCAAGTGACAGCTGTGCAGTGAGAAACAGTGTGGGAAGACTTCTGAGAATGCTTGAATCCATCTGGAAACCCACCTCCTGCGATCTCTGGTTCTCGATGCAGACCTAGAAAGGGAAAACAAGATGAGCGATTCCTGAGGCATCTCCCCCAGCACCTCCCCCCCCCCCCACAGTCCCCACCCCCGAGCCCCCCAGCACCCCAAGGCGGAGGGCTTATCCCAAAGCCGCCTGCCTATGCCTGGCTTTCAGCAGGAAGAGCCAGTGCCCACAGGGACAGCATCACCGAGTTACAAGGCCCATGGGAACGGAGCCCCCGCCACGTGTACAAGCTGGTGGTCAGCCACTGGCAGGCAGTTAGACAGTGAGAGAGACAGACAGAGAGAAAGGTCTTCCTTCTGTTGGTTCACCCCCCAAATGGCTGCTACGGCCGGTGCTGCACCGATCTGAAGCCAGGAGCCAGGTGCAGGGCCCAAGCACTTGGGCCATCCTCCACTGCATTCCCGGGCCAAACAGAGCTGGACTGGACAAGGAGCAACCAGGACAGAACCGGCGCCCCAACCAGGACTAGAACTTGGGGTGCCGGCGCAGCAGGCGGAGGATTAGCCAAGTGAGCCACGGTGCCAGCCCCTAGCCACTGGCTTTTCCAAGTCCTCCCGATGGACACAAGCATGCTGTGCGGCCACAGAGCGCGAGGTGCGTCAAAGCCCAGCTTCTAACGCGCACCCTGAGAAACGCACAGCACAGCAGATCTCATCTCCATCCATTCTGGAAGCACGGGGCAGCTGACAAAGACAAGGGGCTCCACACGGGCCTGCCACACATGTGGCCTGAAGAGCACTGTGTACGCAGACGTGCGTAACCACAGCTGTGGTCACCTCTGCAAACAGGGACCGAACAAACAAAAGACACGACACACAGCTGCCCTTTCCAACTCCCACACTGACACCCTTTCAGGGGAGTGCAGCTCTGGCTGCTGTCTCCAAGCTCTTCTCTGAGCACCAGCCAGACCCAGCACGTCTGCCTGCTGGCTACCAGGCACCTCCAAGTGAGCATGCGCAGAGCCATTCCCTTCCCCAGGCCCTCCTCACCCTAACACGCAGACCGCAGGTTCTCCCACCTGCACATGCTAACCAGGCAGAGACCACAAGGCCTACGCCTCCCTCGCACGGTTCCCCAACCAATCCCGTCAACACACCCAGAACCCTCCATGCCTTGGTCAGGTGCAAACTGCCACCTCCTTGGTGTGGAGTCTCCCAATCAGGTTCTTGGCGGTCTTCCCCCACGATGACCTACACTGCTCTTCAAGGGACAGCAGGTGCAACCTGGCAGTCAGATCCCAGCCTTCTCCGTAGTTGTCCAGTGGTCCCACGCAGTGCAGTGAACAAAACCCATAGACTCAGGAGGATCTCAGCTCCAGCCTGCCCTGTGAGCCGGGCACTACATCCCAGGGCTCAGCAGGGCAGCTTCTGTGGGTGAGGGCAGAGCCTCTTCCTCTCAAAGGCCAACACAGGTGGGCCTGTTTGTCATCAAAGCCCCCTAGCAATGAAGACCAAGTCTTAGGGCTGGCGTTGTGTCATAGTGGGCAACGCTGCCGCCTGCAGTGCCGGCTTCCCATAAGGGGCGCCGGTTCAGGTCCTAGCTGCTGCTCTTCCAATCCAGCTCTCTGCTATGGCCTGCGAAAGCAGTGGAAGATGGCTCAGGTCCTTGGGCCCCTGCACCCGCATGGGAGACCAGGAAGAAGCTCCTGGCTTCAGATCGGCCCAATTCCAGCCACTGCAGCCATTTGGGGAGTCAATCGCTGGGTGGAAGATTCTCTCTCTCCCCATCTCTGCCTCTGGTTCTCTGTAACTGTCTTTTAATCATAAAAAAAAAAAAAAAAAAAGGCCAAGTCTTGGGCCAGCCTGTCCACTGCCACACAGAAAATGCTGTGTGTCTATTTTTCCTTAATGGTCACTTGGGCAAGGAGCAGACCCTGATGATCCCAAGCAACAGATCCACGGGCGCCGCAGGGCTCCCCGAGGCCCCAGCACCACCAGCACAGTAGGGCTCCCCAGCGGCCCGTCCCAGGTCCTAGTCTCACCTCCTGCTCAGCCGCTCCTCCCGCTCCCTCTCTTCTCTCCTCCGCAGGCGATCCTGATTTCTCTTCTCCTGCTTTTCAGCCACAGTTTTCTACACAATTGAGAAAATGAGGAAAGAGCAAGTTAAAAACAGGAATGTGAATGCTGCTTAACAAAACACTGTTCTCAGCCGGCGCCGCGGCTCACTAGGCTAATCCTCCGCCTGGCGGCGCTGGCACACCAGGTTCTAGTCCCGGTCGGGGCGCCAGATTCTGTCCTGGCTGCCCCTCTTCCAGGCCAGCTCTCTGCTGTGGCCCGGGAGTGCAGTGGAGGATGGCCCAAGTGCTTGGGCCCTGCACCCCATGGAGACCAGGAGGAGCACCTGGCTCCTACCTTCGGATCAGCGCAGTGCGCCGGCCGTGGCGGCCATTGGAGGGTGAACCAACGGCAGAAGGAAAGGAAGACCTTTCTCTCTCTGTGTCCACTCTGCCTTTCAAAAAAAAAAAAAAAAAAAAAGAAAGAAAGAAAAAGAAAATGTTAAAACATTGTTCTGGGGCTGGCGCTGTGGCGTAGTGGGTAAAGCCGCCACCTGCAGTGCCAGCATCCCATATGCGCGCCAGTTTGAGACCCGACTGCTCCACTTCTGATCCAGCTCTATTGTGGCCCGGGGAAGCAGCAGAAAATGACCCACGTCCTTGGGCCCCTGTACCTGCAGGGGAGACTCTGAAGAAGCTCTGGCCGTCACAGCCAATTGGGGAGTGAACCAGAGGATAGAAGTCGTTTCTCTCTCTCTCTGCCTAACTCTGACTTTCAAATAAATAAGTAAATCTTTAAAAAAATTTAAACTTCTTTTATTTATTTATTCGAAAGAGTTAAATAAACAGAAGGAGAGGCAGAGGGGTGGGGGTTGGGGAGGTCTTCTACCTGCTGGTTCACTCCCCAAATGGCCACAATGGCTGGAGCTGTGCCGATCCAGAGCCAGGAGCTTCTTCCGGGTCTCCCATGTGGGTGCAGGGGCCCAAGGACTTGGGCATCTTCCATTGCTTTCCCAGGCCTCAGCAGAGAGCTGGATTGAATGTGGAGCAGCCGAGACTAGAACCGGTACCCAAATGGGATGCCAGCACTGCATGTGGCGGCTTTACATGCTACTCCACAGAGCCGGCCCCTAAATCAATCAATCAATCTTTTTTTTTTTTTTTTTTAAAAGATTCAGGTCCCACACTAGAGTATCTTTAAAAAATAATAAAATAAAATAAAATAGGAAGGAAGGAAGAAGGAAGTAACCCAGTTACTCCACTTCCAACCTAGCTCTCTGCTATGGTCTGGGAAAGCAGTAGAAGATGGCCCCAGTGCCTGGGCCCCTGCACCCATGAGGGAGACCTGGAGGAAGCTCCTGGCTCCTGGCTCTGGATCAGCTCTGGCACTGTGAGCATTTGGGGAGTGAACTAGCAGATAGAAGATTTTCTCTCTCTCTCTCTCTCTCTCTGCCTCTCTATAGTTGTGCCTTTCAAATAAATGAGCCAATTTTTAAAACATTAAAATGGGGGGGCCCAACGCTATGGCTCAGCACATTAATGCCTGCAGTGCTGGCATACCGCTGGTTCAAGTCCTGGATGCTCCCTGCTACTGCGCCTGGGGAAAGAAGCGGAAGACAGCCCAAGTGCTTGGGTCCCTACACCCACAAGGGAGACCTGGAGGAAGGCCTGGCTCTTGCGACCATCTGGGGAGTGAATCAGCAGATGGAAGACCTTTCTGTGTCACTCCTGCCTTTCAAATAAAGACGCACAGCTTTAAAAATAAAGAAACAAAAACGTGTGAGAGCACAGAGGTGGCCGGAGCCAGGGAAGGGTGTGGAGGAGGCTGCAGACAAGACGGTGGAGGCTGGAGGGAGGCACAGCAGAGTGACTGTTGTTCCAACACTGGGGGGGTCACTGTGGTGGCCCCGCGGGATGCTGCCTGCAGTGCCACAGTCCCAGCTGTCCCACTTCTGATCCAGCTCCCTGTTCACGTGCCTGGGTGAACAGGAGACGGTCCACACACTGGCCAGGGCCACCCACACGGGAATACTGGGATCTGGTTTGAGCTTGGCCCAGACCCAGCCGTTACAGTGACTTGGATCGAGGCTCTCTCTCCTCTGTCATTGCCTTTCAAATACATACAAAAATCTTTAAAACAACAACAAAAAGCCTAGTAAAGAAAATTCTGAGTGTTCCAAAGACAACACTGCATCAATAAATAAGACAGGAGATCAGCGGGACTGAAGCAAAGCTGCAGAGAGAACACAGTGAGCCCCTGGAGCTGCCAACGGGGCGAGGCTGCTCCCCCACAGCCCGAGGCTCGCCCATCCTCAGCACACACACCAGCTGTGACGGCACAGCATCTTTCCAGCCTCCACCAGTGAGGTGGCGTGAGATGCAGCGGCGCGGCATCCCTGGCGAGCAGAGCGCCTGGCCTGGCATGGCCTGGCCTGGCCTGGCCTGGCCTGGCCTGGCCTGGCCCGGCCCCTCGGCTAAGGTGCACCCGAGGGCAGCGGTGATGGCTCAAGTACTTAGGCTCCTGCCATCCACACGGGAGGCCCAGGTGGAGCCCCCAGTTCCTGGATTTGGCTGGGCTCAGCCCTGGCTGCTGTCGACCTCTCAGGAGCGGACCACGAAGAGCTCTATCTTGTCTCTCCATCTGTCTTCCAAGTAAAATGTAAGTGAAGAGAAACTTAAAAACAGAAGTTCCACTGGGATCACAGAGCAATCTGTCTGAAGCCCAGTGGCCAAGAACACCCTCAGTGCCCTCCTAATTCCCACTCCAGCCCCATGATCACCCGTCCCCTGGGGCAGCCCTCCACAGCGGGGAGGGCTCCTTCCTGGACGCAAATAAGGCCCCTGGGTGCCATTCAGCATTCCACACGCCACAGTGAGGGGCCGGGTGTCTGGCCTTTCCTCACTTCAGGTACAGAGGAGGGAGAGCAAAGTCAAAGTCATTCAGTCAAAAATGTGGTCACTGGTTCAACTCCCCTGGCCCTGCCCACACACAAAGCCCGAAAGTCCCACAGAAAGAGTTCTCAGGCGTTGAGTGCCTGGTCCAGTTTACTTACACACAATGTCCACAAGGACACCTGCCCAGCCACTATCTGGTCGACCTCAGATGAACATCACGCTGGTTAGTAACCACTGTGACCAAAGATTGTTGTTCCAAACTATCTAAGACTCATTCCTGTCTTTGAAAAGCTCTCCTTGGGACAGTGTACTACAGGATGCTTGTGCCTGGGATACCGGAATCCCTCTGCTGGAGTGCAGGTGCAAGCCCTGGCTGCTCTGTTTCCAATCCAATTCCCTGCTGATGCGCCTGGGAAAGCAACAGCAGCAAGACAGCCCAAGTCCTTAGCCCCTGCACCTACGTGGGAGACCCAGGTGGAGTCAACTCCTGGCTTCAGATGGCCCAGTCCCAGCCATCAAGGCCATCTGAGGAATGAACCAGCAGACAGTCAGCCTCGTTCTCTGACTTTCCCCCTCTGGTACCCTGCCTTTCACATAAGGAAACAAACAAAAATCTCTCTCCTTGTCTCAACTTCTTGTGAACAGGGGACGGCCACCCATGTGAGAGATCTGGATTCAGTTCGCAGCTCCAGGCCCTGGCCTGTCCGAGTCCTGGCTGTTACAGGAAGTGAGCCAGTGGATAGAAGAGTTCTGTTCTTCAAATTTATAAAGATTAAATTCTGGGAGAACACTAGAACATGAAGTGTTTATTGTTTAATTAAGAAACCATATACTCCATAAAAATGTTACATGTTAATCCAAAGTTTGAAAATGTTAGAAAACTGTTAAAAAGTAAAAGATGTGGCCGGCGCTGTGACTCACTTGGCTAATCTTCTGCCTGCGGCGCCGGCACCCCAGATTCTAGTCCCGGTTGGGGTGCCGGGTACTAGTCCCAGTTGCCCCTCTTCCAGGCCAGCTCTCTGCTGTGGCCCGGGAAGGCAGTGGAGAATGGCCCAAGTGCTTGGGTCCCTGCACCCGCATGGGAGACCCGGAGGAAGTACCTGGCTCCTGGCTTCGGATCAGCGTAGTGCCGGCCGTAGCAGCCATTAGGGGGGGTCAATCAACGGAAGGAAAACCTTTTTGTCTCTCTCTCACTGTCTATAACTCTGTCTCTCTAATTCTGCCTGGCAAAAAAAAAAAAAAAAAAAAGTGAGGATGGCCAGATTTCTCCAGAAATACACTTACCCTCAACTGGTCGAGCTTCTCTCGAATCTGGATGAAGCCCAGGTGTAACTTGCCCCCGAAGTGGTCTGCCAGGCGGCGGTCGTTGTCATGGAGACCGAGGTAGGCTGAGCAGACCTCACACACACGCAGCTTTTGCTGCTGGAAGCTGGATGCAGGCATGGAATTCCTGTACTCCTCCTGAGGAACAGCACAGAAATGCAGGTGAGATACACACATGCCACACGCGCCCCACCTGCAGGTGAGATACACACATGCCACACGCGCCCCACCTGCAGGTGAGATACACACATGCCACACGCGCCCCACCTGCAGGTGAGATACACACATGCCACACGCGCCCCACCTGCAGGTGAGATACACACATGCCACACGCGCCCCACCTGCAGGTGAGATACACACATGCCACACGCGCCCCACCTGCAGGTGAGATACACACATGCCACACGCGCCCCACCTGCAAAATGAAAACGCTTGTGGGATGAGAGGTTCTTTTTTTTTTTTTTTTTTGACAAGGTATCATTTTAGACAGTGAGAGAGAAACAGAGCGAAAGGTCTTCCTTCCGTTGGTTCACTTCTCAAATGGTGTCCATGGCGAGCGCTGGCGCTGATCCGAAGCCAGGAGCCAGGTGCTTCCTCCTGGTCTCCCATTCGGGTGCAGGACCCAAGCACTTGGGCCATCCTCCACTGCCCTCCCGGGCCACAGCAGAGAGCTGGACTGGAAGAGGAGCAACCGGGACTAGAGCCCAGCGCCCACATGGGATGCCAGCACTGCAGGCAGAGGATCAACCAAGTGAGCTGTGGTGCTGGCCCGAAGAGGGTTCTTTTAAATAAACATTAAAAACTCAACTTTGGGGCCAGTGTTACAGTGCAGTGGGTTAAGGAGCTGCCTGTGATGCGGTATCCTATATGGGCACTGGCCCCCTACTGACGCACTCAGGAAAGCAGTGCAAGACAGACCAAGTGCTTGCAAACCTACACCCACGTGGGAGACTGAGATGGGAGTTCCAGGCTCCGGGTTTTGGCCTGGCCGACCCTGGCTGTTGCAGCCACACGCACACACACACACTGTCAAGATATCAAAGCCAGAAGTAAACTCCAACCACTAAGCAAGCAGGTTCTGCTCCCAGAATGAGCAGGTGAACAGACCCCTACCTGGACAGGAAATCTACAAACCAGCAAAGACAAGAGCCAGCCATGGACCTGTCACAAAGCCCAGGCAACCGCCCCAGTGCACCTCCAAAAGTTAAAATCTGGGGGATTAACCACATCAGATGCTTCCGCCAGGAAAAGGGATGACAGACTCGAACAAAATATAATCCCTCCTGAAGCCACTGCAGAAGCTGTGTCCAGTTACAGGAAGCATCAAACCTCAACCTTGGGGCTGGCGCTGTGGCACAGTGGGTTAATGCCCTGGCCTGAAGCAGCGGCATCCCATATGGGCGCCAGTTTGAGTCCCGGCTGCTCCACTTCTGATCCAGCTCTCTGCTATGCCTGGGAAAGCAGCAGAAGTTGGCCCAAGTCCTTGGGCCCCTTCACTTGAGTGGGAGACCTGGAAGAAGCTCCAGACTCCTGGCTTTGGATCGGCGCAGCTCCAGCCGTTGCGGCCCTCTGGGGAGTGAACCATTGGTGGAAGACCTCTCTCTTTGTCTCTACCTCTTTGTAACTCTTTCAGATAAATAAAATAAATCTTTTAAAAAAACCTCAACCTCAAGGCAACATGCACCAAATAGAGAAGGAAAGAAATCCCAGACACAGTTACTGCTGCTTACGCTAAGTTAAAACACTCCTTCAAATTCCACATAAAAAAATAGGAGTTGTCCTCTGAAATACTTACCTACTTTTAAAATTTATTGTTTGAGAGGCAGAGGGGAGAGGGAGGGAGGGAGCGAGAGCGAGTGAGCACACGCTTCCCTGGTCTTCTGACTTACTCGCCCAGTGGACAACAGTGGTCGGGCTGGGGCTGGGCTGGGGTCAGAGCCAGGAGCCTGAAACTCAGTTGAGGTTTTCCTCAAGGATGGCAGGAATCCAACTACTTGAGCCATCAACCTGCTGCCTCCCAGGGTGTTAATGATTCACAGGAAGCTAGAGGGGAAGCAGAGACAGGACACAACCTGGGCACTCAGATACGGAATGCAGGATCCACAGTGGCACCTCAACTGCCAGGTCAAACACCCCAACAGTCTGCTACATCTCTGGAAGGACAGTCATTATGGGCAAGGTGTGCCTCCCAGCGGGTGAAATGCCACCCGGGAAGCCCGCGTCCAGCACCAGAGCACCCGGGATCGAGTCCCACTTCTGTTCTCGATCCAGTTTCCACTAATGCACCTGGGAGGCAGCAGAGGGGACCCAAATTCTTGGGTTCCTACCACCTACGCACAGGACACAGATGGAGCTCCTGCCTCTGGGCGCCAGCCTGACACGGCCCAGCTGTCGTAGGCACTGGGGAGCCAGCCACAGATTGAAGGTCGCTAGGCCTCTGCCTTTCAAATCAATGGTAAAGACATGAAAAGTGCACACACTGGGCACCAGGGTCACAGGTCAGCGCTACTGAGTCACCAGGACCCCCCCACAAGGACAGCTCTCTCACTGACCAGTCACCAGGACCCCCCCCCACTAGGACAGCTCTCTCACTGACCAGTCACCTAGACCCCCCCTCAGGGACAGCTCTCTCACTACCAGTCACCGAGACCCCCCCACAAGGACAGCTCTCTCACTGACCATCACCAAGACCCCCCACAAGGACAGCTCTCTCACTGACCAGTCACCAACACCCCCCACAAGGACAGCTCTCTCACTGACCAGTCACCAACACCGCCCACAAGGACAGCTCTCTCACTGACCAGTCACCAACACCGCCCACAAGGACAGCTCTCTCACTGACCAGTCACCAACACCGCCCACAAGGACAGCTCTCTCACTGACCAGTCACCGAGACCCCCCCTCAGGGACAGCTCTCTCACTGACCAGTCACCAAACCCCCCCTCAGGGACAGCTCTCTCACTTACCTCCGCTTCCTTCTTCTTAGCACGAACCTTCTCCACCTCCGTAAGAATCTTCTGGGATTCGTCCACATTTCCTTCAGCTCCAAGCTGCTCGGCTTTAGCAAGGAGTTTTCCTATCTCTTCGTTCAACTCATGCACTTTTTCTGCCTGAGGGCAAAAAGAATCAGTTAAGCAGAAATTAAAAAGGAAAGATTTTTAATGCGAAGGAAACAAGCGCTTCTCCCACTGCGCTTCTGGTCTATTTCACTGGACAGAAACAGCTTACAACCCACAGAGCGGCCTGCACAGTCTACCAGTGACGGCACCGTTGGCCACCACTGAGATCTGACCGTGCACAGTACGCTCTGTCCACCTCTGCCCCTGCCACAGTGGCCCCCAGGATGATCACACGCTGCTCCTCTTCTAGGCTGTCTCATTTTCTGTCTATTACAGGCAGTCTCTGGGCAACAAAACATCTAGGTTAAATGCACCACGTGTGCTGGACAGAACTCCCAGTTACGGGATTTCAGAAACAAGACAGCAGCCATGGCCAACCTCAACGCTTGGGACCTTCGTGGGAAGAAGAGAAGCTGCTCAAACAGCAGGACAACCTGAAAGGGGAGCTGCCCCAACTACGCCCCGTGACGGGTGGGCGTGCCAGCTCCCCAAGACCCCAGCTGTGCACATTCTACAGGGTAAGAAATGCAGACCCCTGCCCCTGTGGCCCGAGAAGACGTGCGCCATGCAGCACTGGCTTGAGGCAAGAGCAGAGCCTGAGGACCAGGAAGAAGGAGCAGCTCCACCCCACAGAAGCACTGCTCCATAACAACTGAGCAGAGCCCTCCTGTGCCAATAAACACACCAAAGGGTAGAGGGCAGGAGACGAAACACCACCTCTGGCCCAAACACCACCTGCATGCGTCCTAAGAAACGCTCTCACAAAACTGAAGAGAGGTGGGTGTGGGCACAGCAGTGAACACGACACGGGAGACAGGTGCGTCCCATACTGCAGTGCCTGGGTTCCAATCACTGCCTTGCTTCTAATCCCAGTTTCCTGCTACTGTGTGCACTGTGACGCAGCAGCTGATGGCTCAAGTGCGTGGGTCTCTGCCACCCACACGGGAGACCCACACTGAATTATGGGCTGCTGGCTCTGGCCTGGCACAGCCCTGGTTGCTGCAGGTATTTAGGGAGTGAACCAGCAGATGAAATCGGTCTCTTTTGACTTTCAAATAAAAGTTTAAACATTGACAGTACTGAAAAGAAGGAGAGTGGTGCAGCTAACACCGTGGCCAGCCACAGATGGACCTCCAATCCACAACAGGGATGCACCACGGCTTTGCCATTGCCCTCTTGAGTCTGCTGCCGCCTGTCTTATGCATGGATGCTTGAAAACTGCATTTTAAAACACACGTACAGAGGAGGGCAAAATGGACAGGAGATAAAGACAGAAGGGGCAGCTCCTGGGGATCAAGGGTCACTGACGCCCTTCTTCCTCACAGTCGTCTGTGCATTCCGGGAAGGCACGCGGCAGAGCACACTGCCGGTCACCGGCAATGCAGTACTGCCCACAGGCGCACCTTTGCAGAGACCTCCGCACTGATCTCCTCCTGTGTCTCTGCCAGACGTTTCTTGGCGAGCTCAGTCCTCCGGTCACACTCCGCGATGAAGGACTCCAAGTGATCCATCGCCTGGCTCGGGAAAAGCAGAGAACTACGGTCACCCACGTCCCTCTGCCTCTGGATTCCTGAGTTGTTTCACAAAGCCTGCAGGTTCAAGGGGCTGAGCTATGCTGCAGCTAATGCATTCATGATCCCACAAAGTCAGGGGGCCAGGACGCCCAGGACTGCTCAGGAGCATCACCTCCGATCTGATTCTCCTTTAGACCCAAAGTTAGCAACAGGGCCTCTACCCTCAAGTTATTACCAAGACGTTTTGAGGACAACTGAAACACTTGGGGCAGCCACCGTGGCACAGTGGGTTAAGTTGCCACGCAGGATGCCTGATCCCATGTCAGAGTGCCGGTTCTAGTCCTGGTCACTCCATTTCCGATCCAGCTTCTCAGCAATACCGCACCTGGGAGGCGGCAGGTGATGGCCTGATTACTTGGGTTCCTGCCACTCGTGTGCGAGACCAGAATGGAGTCTGGGCTCCTGGCTCTGGCCTGGCCCAGAGACGAGCACTGCAGGTGTTTGGGTGCTAACCCAACAGATGGTAGATCTCTGCCTCCCTCCACGTGTGCTCCCCTTTTCAAGCAGATGAAAATACACGAACGTGTTCTAAAGTAAGCGAACACATGGCCATCACAGAGTTCTGAGGGACAGAAAAGCGTGACCAGAGACGAGCTAGTGCTGGAGGCCCCTCCTGCAGAGCTGTGGGAGATGCACAGGATGTACTCACTGGTCTTTGGGAACCACGCACACATTATCCCCTCATGTCCTGAGGGCACAGACCCCCCTTCCACCTCAAAGACAAAACAACAGAACAAACATTACTGAGAGCTGTGAGCACCTCCAGTTATTGTCTACTGTCTCACGTAACGGGAAACTCGTTACTATCTAGAAAAGAAACAGAGCTCGATGGTGAGAAACCGCAAGTGAGAACGAGCTGTCAGACATGCCACGTCCACTGCCACAGCCATGCAGAGGCCAGCCCAGTCCCCGCCCCCAAGGCCCACGTGTCCCACGGCTTGTCAGGGGCATGGAGTTTCACCTCCCAAGTTACACCTTCAGTTGTCTTACTTATGTCGGCCTCATGCTAAATATGACAGCAAGCGTGCTTAGCAGGGATACCAGGGTTACACTGTGCCACCTACCACCAAAGAACAGAAAAAAGAAAATTACGGTTGGAGAGGAAAAGGCACTGTGAATGACAAAGACCCCAGGGTGACTGTCCACCAGAGAGCACAAAGCAGGTGAGCTCTAACGACACGCTCTGGGACGTTCTATGTAGCACTGGATGGGTGACAGGGACGCCGGGAAGGGTTACAATGTCTTCCAGAAATCCTTTTAAATAATGACACCCGGGAGTAGGTCAGGTCCAGGGAGGCGTGGGGACAGCACCAGTCAGTGAGCGCGCCCCCAGGGCTCAGCCCGCGGTCGGGGAATGCAGACCCTGCCCACGGGGGTGATCTGGAAACATCTCAGTGCATTCCACCCAGCGGGACAGCAAACAGCAGTGCCTTTGCTGGCCCCCTCACGGGTGCATGCTGCCCTTGCTGGAGCTGCCTGTGCTCACAGTGTGGGATGCCTCTCCACTGCCTGCCCACCTGGGATCCACCGAGGGATCCACCCACCAGGAGCCAAGTGAGAAACAGACATCTGTCAGCTCCGCCCTCGCCAATCAAAGCAATTACCTCTACCTAAAACAAAACTCAAGTGCCATGGACTCAGCTGCCTGGTAATCTAGAAAACCAAAAGGTAAACTAGGAAAACAAGCATGCCATGGAGAGGGCTTTTCACTGCTCTGTACCAGGTGGTTCAGGGACAGGCAAATGGCACACAGCACAGCTAAGACACCACCTGGGACACTCCTGTCACATCTCAGAGCACCTGCCTTGAGTCGGAGCTCCTTGGCTTCCAATCCGGCTTCCGGCTAATGGGATCCGAGGGTGGCGCAAGCAGTTGGGTCCCTGACACCTAAATGGGAGACCCAGCTCTAGCTATTGCAGGCATTTGGGGGAGTGCATCTGCGGACAGATCTGCTCTACCCTACCCTACACACACACACACACACACACACACACACACACAAGTGGTTCTCTGTTCCTAAGGAAACAGCAGATGCAGGGGTGGAGTCTGGCCCAGCAGTTAGGATGCCAGCTGCAACGCCTGCACTGCTGGGTTAGGTCCTGGCTCCACTTCCAATTCCAGACTTCTGCTAACACAGACTCTGAGTCAGCAGTAACAGTTCAAGCAGTTGCGTCCTTGTCATCATGAGGAAGACCTAGATAAAGTCCCCATCTCCTGGGCCTGTGGAGAATGACCCAGTGGATGGGGGCTCTGTCCCTGATTCTCAAATAATCTGTACCGAGATTTAGATTGAAAAATCAGAGACATCTGAGTCCAAAGATTAGGTCCAAATCACACCTACCACCTACTAGAAAGTCACCCGACCCACACCACTGTCTCAAGGTGAGGTGAGACCCTCAAAGTACCTGGCCCCATGCCAGCAGCCCCTAGCACCCTCAGCAGGAATGCCCAACCCTCCACACAGGACTGCATGGTGCGGTTCAGCCATCCAGCCAGCCTGTCAGAGCTGACACAGCACCAAAAGACCTTGTGCCGCAAGCCTTACATGTGTTCAACAGCCACAGTCGACAAAATCAGACTCCAGCTTCCCAACTACAAAGTCAGGGTCAGGACACAAGGTCCTTAAGCGCTGGGTCCAGAAACCTTGCGTGGGACCCCCCAGCACCAGTCCAGTCTACAGATAAACATAAAAATCACACAACTTGCCCAAGGTCACACAGGGATTCGAACGCAGGGTAAATAATGTCACGTACACTACACATCATCTATGAGGTAGAAAAAGTAAGCATATGGGGTGAGCACTGTGCCACCACTTGGAATACCCATGGTTCAATCCTGGCTACTAGATTCCAGTCCAGCTTCCCCCTAATGTGCATCCGGAAGGCAGTAGGTAGTGACAGGTAGCTGGATCCCTGCCACCCACTGTGAGACCCAGATGGAGGGGAAGGCTTCTGGCTTCAGTCTGGCCCAGCTCAGGTCCAGCCAGCATTTGGGGACTGAATAAACAGATGGAGATCTTTCTCATTCTCTCTGCTTCCAAGTAAGTAAAAACAAACGATCAATAACATTTTTTTTTTTTTGGACAGGCAGAGTTAGACAGAGAGAGAAAGGTCTTCCTTTTTCCGTTGGTTCACCCCCAAAATGGCTGCAATGGCCGGTGTGCTGCGCAGATCTAAAGCCAGGAGCCAGGTGCTTCTCCTGGTCTCCCATGCGGCTGACAGGGCCCAAGCACTTGGGCCATCCTCCACTGCACTCCAGGGCCACAGCACAGAGCTGGACTGGAAGAGGGGCAACCAGGTCAGAATCTGCCGCCCCAACCGGGACTTGAACCCGGGGTGCCGGCACCGCAGGCGGAGGATTAGCCAAGTGAGCCGCGGCGCCAGCCATGATAAATACCATTTTAAAGAAAACCACCCAGGTAGAATCAGAACTGGCTTCATGGGGCCAATGCTGGGGTACAACGGGTTAAAGCCCTAGCCTGAGGCACCACATCCCATCTGGGCACTGGTTCTAGTCCCGGCTGCTCCTCTTCCAATCCAGCTCTCTGCTGTGGCCTGGGATAGCACTAGAAGATGGTCCAAGTCCTTGGGCCGCTCACCCACGTGGGAGACCTGGAAGAAGGTCCTGGCTCCTGGCTTCGGATCATCACAGCACCAGCCATTGCAGCCATCTGGGATATGGGGAGTGAAGCAGTGGATGGAAGACCTCTCTCTCTGTCTCTACCTCTCTCTGTAACGCTTTCTTTTCTTACTTTTTTAAATTTTTTGACAGGAAAAGTGGACAGAGAGAGAGAGAGGCAGACAGAAAAGTCTTCCTTTTGCCGTTGGTTCACCCTCCAATGGCTGCCGCGGCCGGCACACCGAGCTGATCTGATGGCAGGAGCCAGGTACTTCTCCTGGTCTCCCATGCGGGTGCAGGGCCCAAGCACTTGGGCCATCCTCCACTGCACTCCCGGGCCACAGCAGAGAGCTGGCCTGGAAGAGGGGCACCCGGGACAGAATCCGGCGCCCTGACCAGGACTAGAACCCGGTGTGCCGGGGCCGCAAGGCAGAGGATTAGCCTAGTGAGCCACGGCGCCAGCCCTCTTTCAAGTAAATAATCTTAAAAAAAAAAAAAGAACTAGCTTCATCTTCATTTGAAGAGAGCTCAGAAGTGACTTGATCTGTATGTTCTGAAACCTGTCAAACATTACAAAGCAAGACAATTTGGAGGAAAAGGTTAACTATGCTTTTGCTGAACTAAAGAAACAAATTCTTTGGACCAGTACCATGGCATAGTGGGTAAGGCTGCCGCCTGCAGTGCCGGCATCCCATATGGGTACGGGTTTGAGTCCCGGCTGCTCCACTTCTGATCCAGCTCTCTGTTATGGCCTGGGAAAGCAGTAGAAGATGGCCCAAGTCCTTGGGCCCCTGCACCCACGTGGGAGACCCAGAAGAAGCCGCTGGCTCCTGGCTTCACATTGGCACAGCTCCAGCCATTGCAGCCAATTAGGCAGTGAACCAGTGGATGGAAGAACTCTCTCTCTCTCTCTGCTTCTCCTTTTCTCTCTGTGTAACTCTTTCAAATAAATAAATACATAAATCTTTTTTAAAAAAAAGAAATTCTTTACATTTTTAATATGTGAACACTAAAAAAAATGTACTATTCTGTTAATGTTTTCATAGGTTAACTAAACTAACTTTGCTGTCTGCTAGTTTTTAAGTTGAAAACCTTGGGGGCTGGCATAGTGGTACAGTGAGTTAGGCTGCCACTTGCCATGACAGCATCTGGTGTGGGAGTGCTGGGTCAGAGTCCTGGCGGTTCCCCTTCTGAGCCACCTTCCTGCTAAGGCAGCTGGGATGCCGGCGGATGATGGTGCAACACACTCAGGCCCCTGCCACCCATATGGGAGACGTGGATGGCGTTTGTGGTTCCTGACTTTGGTGTGGCTCAGCTCGGGCTGTTGTGGCTGTCTGGGGAGTGACCTAGGGGACAGAAGATATCTCTGTCACTCTGTCTTTCGAATTAAATTCTTCTTTACAAGCTATCACGGGCAGGCGTCTGGCCTAGTAACTGAGACGCCAGGTTACAGCCAGCATCTCCCATGGGAATGCTGGGCTCTACACCTCACTCTGCTCCTGCCTCCAGCTTCCTGCTGATGCACACAGTGAGGGCTGCGCTGATCAGTCGGAAGACTGCGTCCCTGCTGCCCACGTGGGAGACCTGGGTTACGTTCCTGGTCCCTAGCTTTGGTGCCAGTCGGGGACCACTGCACACATTTGGAAGTGAGCCAGTGGATGGGAGTGCTCCAATTCTCTGCTTCTTAAATTAATGAATATAATTTCTTGAAAAAGATGGCAACAAATCTTTTCAAAAGGTGCCATGAAGCAACAATCATTACAATCAGGAAAGAAAAGCTTTAAAATTTAATTCAACAATTTGATTAAAAAGACTTACAAAAGCATTCTGGTGTATAACCCTTTACATCCTGGGTCAAACTATTAAAAAGTTTTGAGGCAATCAGACATTTTCCCAGAATGAATGTGACATTCACAACTGTCAAGCAGCAGTGTAATCTGTATGCCTTGGACACACAGTCTGCAGTACTTACGGAAGGAGTTCTCTCTCCATGAGCGGCTATAAAACAAGCCAGCAGGGAGGGGCCTTTGGCTCGGCAGAAGATGCTGCAAGGATGCCCCCGCCCCAGGGAAGCCGCTGGGTTCAGGTCCTGCATGCACTTCCCAGCCCACCCGTCTCTAACACACACGCTGGAAGCAGCAGCTGAGGCCAAGTACTCGGTCCTTGCCTCTCCCATGGGAGACCGGGACTGAGTTCCAAGCTCCTGGCTTCCAGCTCTAGCTGTTGCAGGCTTTCAGGGTGTGAACCAGAAAACAGAAGAAACCTCTCTCACATGCCTTTCAAATAAACAACAACAAAAAATATGTTGCAAAGATCCAGTCAGGAAAAAAAAGACAGCAAGATAAAGATAAAACAAAATAGTCGTCGTGTCAGTAAGTGTCATTAACTACTCTGCTCAAATCTGTAAATTTTCCCATACATTAAAAATAAAAAAAAAAGATGCTAAGTAGATTCGATTACAACCAAGGATATTCCAGGTTTTGTATACGGGTAAAGGGAACTTCAAAATCTGAACTATTTATAGATGAAACCTCAAGTCCTGGAAAGTCTGAGTTTCCTGAGAAGTGGGAACAAAGGGGAGACATATCTGGCCCTGCGCTCATCACAGCTGAAGGTAGGCGATGGGCACACAGTGACCAATTCATTTTGCAATTACTTTTACTTTCATACTGGAAATTTTCTACAAAAAGAAGTGTCTTAAAACAAACCACTGGGGCCGGCGCCTGCGGTGCTGGCATCCCATGTGGGTGCCAGTTCAAGTCCCGGCTGCTCTGCTTCCAATCCAGCCCTCTGCTATGGCCTGGGACAGCAGAAGATGGCCCAAGTGCTTCGGCTGCGGCACCCACGTGAGAGACCTGGAAGAAGCTCCTGGCTTCATATTGGCACAGCTCCGGCCACTGCAGCCAATTGGGAAATGAACCAGCAGATTTAAGATATCTCTCGCTCCCTCTGCCTCTCTAACTCTTGCCTTTCAAATAAATAAATAAATCAATCTTAGAGAACTGGCACTCAAAGAGATGCTAGCACTGCAGCAGAGGATTAGCCTACTGCGCCACAGCACCAGCCCCTTGGCTGCTCCACTTCTGATGCAGCTCTCTGTTGTGGCCTGGGAAAGTAGTACAGATGGCCCAAGTCCTTGGGCCCCTGCACCTGCGTGGGAGACCCGGAAGAAGCTCCTGGCTCCTAATCGGCACAGCTCCAGCCCTGTGGCCATTTGGGGAGTGAACCAGCTGATGAAGACCTCTGCCTCTCTGTAACTCTGCCTTTAAAATAAATAAAGGAGGCCTGCCCCAGGGTTCACTAGGCTAATCCTCCGCCTTGCAGCACCAGCACACCGGGTTCTAGTCCCGGTCGGGGCACTGGATTCTGTCCCGGTTGCCCCTCTTCCAGGCCAGCTCTCTGCTGTAGCCCGGGAGTGCAGTGGAGGATGGCCCAGGTCCTTGGGCCCTGCACCCCATGGGAGACCAGGAGAAGCACCTGGCTCCTGCCTTCAGATAGGCGCGGTGCGGCGACCATTGGAGGGTGAACCAACGGCAAAGGAAGACCTTTCTCTCTGTCTCTCTCTCTCATTGTCCACTCTGCCTGAAAAAAATAAATAAATAAAGGAATCTTTTTTAAAAAATCAATCTTTAAAAAAACCAAACCCACTTGAGGGACTGCAGTTGGCCCAGCAGTTGTGTACCACATCAGAGTACCAGGGATCAATACCTGCCCCCCCCTTTTAATTAAGATTCTTATTGATTTGAAGGCAGAATCACAAACTGGGGGAGGAGGTAGGGACCGCAAGGCAGTTCCCCCATCTGCTCATCTACTGATTCACGTCCCAAATGGCCACAGTGGCAAGGGCTGAGCCAGGCCAAAGCCAGCACCTGCAACTGCACCTGGGCCTCCCGTACGGCTGGCAGGGGACCCAGCACTTGAGCCAGTTTCTGCTGCTTTCCCAGGCACCTTAGCAGGAAGCTGGCTCAGAGGTGTAGCATGCTGGCATCGCCTGCAACACTGGCATCCCCTGTGGGGCTGGTTCTACACCCAGCTGCGCCACTTCTTCTGTGGTTTTTAAAAATTTATTTGTATTTGAAAGGCAAAGAGTTACAGAAAGGCAGAGGCAGAGGCAAAGAAAGAGAGGTCTTCCATCTGCTGGTTCACTCCCCAGATGGCCACAAGCAGAGCTAGGCTGACCCAAAGCAGGGAGCCAAGAGCTTCTTTTAGGTCTCTCACACAGGTACAAGGGCCCAAACACTTGCGCCATCTTCCATTGCTTTCCCAGGCCATAACAGAGAGCTCTATCGGAAGTGGAGCTCCTAGGACCCAAACCAGCACCCGTGTGAGATGCCAACACTGCAGGCAGCGGCTTTCCCCGCTAACCCACAGCGGGCTGCTCCACTTCTGATCTGCTCCCTACTAACGGCCTGGGACAAGCAGCAGAGGACGGCCCAAGTGCCTGGGCACCTGCCACCCATATGGGAGATCCAAAGAAGCTCCTGGCTCCTGGTTTCAGTCTGGCCCAGCCCTGACTGGGGATGAATCAGCAGATGGAAGATCTCTCTGTCTCTCTCTCTTTTTTTTTTTTAATGTATCTGACAGATTTAGACAGTGAGAGAAAGAGACAGAGAGAAAGGTCTTCCTTCTGTTGGTTCACCCCCCAAATGGCTGCCATGGCTGAAGCTACGCCGATCCGAAGCCAGGAGCCAGGTGCTTCTTCCTGATCTCCGACGCAGGTGCAGGCGCCCAAGCACTTGGGCCATCCTCCACTGCCCTCCCGTGCCACAGCAGAGAGCTGGACTGGAAGAGGAGCAACCGGGACAGAACCCGGCACCCACATAGGATGCCAGCGCCGCAGGCAGAGGATTAACCAAGTAAGCCACGACGCTGGCCCTCTCCTCTCTTTCAAAAAATAAATCCTTAAAATGTAGCAGCCAGGACTTTAACTGGAGTGCTGTAGGCAGTGGCTCAGCCCGCTGTGCCCCAACACTGAAACGGTTAAAAGGTCAACCAACCATGGCCAGTCAGCTGTGGTACAGTGAGTAAAGCCACCGCCTGGACACTGACATCCTATATGGGGTCTGGTTCGTATCCCAGCTGTTCCACTTGTGATCCTGTTCCCTGCTCATGGCAGTGCAAGATGGTCCAAGTGCTTGGGCCCCTGCCATCCAGGTGGGTGATCAGTGTACAGCATTTAAGAACCGGGCTGCTGGAGCCAGCATGGTGGTGTAGTGGGTTCCGCTGTTGCTTCTGACACCCACATCCCACAACACAGCTCCTGGATTCCAATCCTGGTTCTACGTCCAATTCAAACTTCGGGCTAAACTGCACCTTGGGAGGTCGTGGACAACAGCCCAAGTAACTGGTTCCCTGCGAGTCCCACCCATGTGGGAGACCTAGATGGAGTTCTGGGCTTCCACCTGGCTCAGTCTTGCAGTAGCAGGCATTTAGGGAATGAACACGCAGATGGAAGCTCTCTTTTTCTGTCTCCTTCTCTCCCTATTGCTCTGCCTTTCAAATAAATAAATCTTAAAAAAAGATAAGGTTTTTTAAAAAATACCATTCGTTGAAAAAACAAACAAATATATTTTAGGTGTGGGCATTCAGTATAGCCATTGAAACACCAGTGAAGACACCTTGTACTACATCAGAGTGCCAGCTGGCATCCTGTCCGCTCTCAGGACTTCCTGCTAACGAACACGCTGAGAGGGGTGCCCAATGGCCAAGGACTCAGGTCCCTGCCACCTTTGTGGGAGACACAGGATCCCACCTTCAGCATGGCTCAGGCCCACCTGATGCAGGATGTGAATCAGTGGATGGAAGACACCTCTACCTGCCTTTCAAATAAAATAAAAATAATGATATTAATTTCTGAACCTGTCAGGGCTTACAGGTAACCCTAACCTGCGTGGAGAAGTGACTGCTCAGTGCTACACAGAAGCATCCACAGGGGCTGGCGCTGTGGCGCAGAGGGTAAAGCTGCTGCCTACAGCTGCAGCACTCCGTATGGCTGATCCACTTCCAGCACAGCTCCGAGTGATGTGCCTGGGAGCAGTGAAAGCCCCATCACTTGGGCCCTGCCACCCACGTGAGACCTAGAAGCAGCTCTGGCTGCTACCTTGTAGCTCAGCCCAGCTCCAGTTATTGCAGCCATTTGAGGAGTGAAGCAGTGAATGGAAGATCTCGCTCTCTTTCTCTATATGTGCCTTTCAAATAAATACATCTTTTTTAAAAAAAGAAGTATCCTTGGGGCCGGCACTGTGGCTTAATGGGTAAAGCTGCTGCCTGCAGTGCCGGCATCCCATATGGGTACCAGCTTGAGTCCTAGCTGCTCCACTTCCAATCCAGCTCTCTGCTGTGGCCTGGGAAAGCAGTGGAAGATGGCCCAAGTCCTTGGGCCCCTGCACCCTCGTGAGAGACCTGGAGGAAGCTCCTGATCAGCCCAGCTCTGGCCACTTGAGGAGTAAACCAGCGGATGGAAGATTTCTGTCTCTCTGCCTCTGCCTCTCTGTAACTCTTTGCTTTTCAAATAGATAAATAAATATTAAAAAAAAAAAAAGCCAGCAGCAGCACCCAGCACCCACTGGGAGGGAGCATGCACTGTGGCACAGGGTCTGCTGCCGCCTGCGATGCGAGCATCCCACATGAGCACCAGTCAGCCCCAGCTGCTCGGCTTCCAGCCAAGTGAATGGCCTGGGGAACAGCAGGTGATGGCCCTAGTGCTTGGGCCCCTGTCACCCACACGTGAGACCCAGACGGAGTTCTAAGCTCCTGGTTTCAGCCTGATCCAGCCTTGGCCTTTGTGGCCATTTGAGGAGTGACCAGCAGATGGAAGATCTCTCTGTTTCTCCATCTAACTCTGCCTTTTAAACCTAAGTTTTTTCTTTCTTTTTTTTTATTTTTTTGACCCCTTCTCTGCCTCTCAAATAAGAAACAACAACAAACACCAGGGGCGTGTTGCGGGTTAAACTGATGCTTGGAACGCCACATCCCACACTGTAGTTCCTTGTTCCAGTCCCAGCTCCTCCATTTCCATTCCAGCTTCCTGCGATTGTACCTGGGAAGCAGCAGATGGTGGCTCAAGTACTTGAGTCCCTGATGCCCACGGTGAAGACCCAGCTGACATACAGGACTCCTGGCTCAGTCCCAGCTGCTGTGGGCATTTAGAGACTGAACCAGTGGACGGAACACCTCTGTCTCTCCCCGTCTCTCTCTCAAATACACGATCTTAAAAAAGAAAAAAATCAGCTGGGGTTGTGGCATAGCAGGTTAAGCCAATGTTTTTTCAGAGCCAGCGTTCCGTTTCAGAGCACAGGTTCACCTCTGGGCTAGTCCATTTGCAATCCAACTCCCCAACGTGCCTGGAAGGCAGCACATGAAGGACCAACGCTTGGGCCTCTGCCAACCACATGGGAGACTAGAACGGACTCCCTAGCTACTGGTTTCAGTCTGACCCACACCTGCCTATTGCAGTCACCTGGGGAATGAACCAGCAGAGGGACAATCTCTTATGCTGTCTCTCCCTACTCTGTCATTCTTTCAAATACATAAATCTTTTAAAAAAAGAGATAGATTTAGAAACAAAACACTACGGAAGAATCCAAACCACACTGTGCTTCTCCCCATAACCTCCTCAGGGGTACTCCCACGTGGGTACGCAGCTGCTTCGTTCTCTCTTCCCAGCTGTCAATCATTCCACTGAAAGGAGGAGCTACGATTCAGCCCCTCCCTTTCAGGGCGAGTCTACTTGCTGGGTTCCTGCCTTCCGCAGGAGTATTCTGCGTACGCAAGGCTACAGTCAGAGAGCTGTCAGCACCCACACCGCTGGGTGTGTTTTCACATCTTCCCAGGTTACCCATCTCTCTACCTCCTTAGTTCTGAGTCAGGGTGAGCACCTGCCCCAAGATCAGATACACACAGCAAAATCATGTCCTTTTTTGCCCTTATCCAGTGCGTCTACCCACTGCCCCTGTCTTGAAGAATCTCATACATGAAGGAAACCAGTCACCCTCAAGTACACTGCGAATCATCTGTCCTAGTTCACTGATCTCCATGTAAATGCTTATGCAGCTTTTTTTTTTTTTTTTTTTTTTTGACAGGCAGAGTGGACAGTGAGAGAGAGAGACAGAGAGAAAGGTCTTCCTTTGCCGTTGGTTCACCCTCCAATGGCCGCCGCGGCCGGCGCGCTGCGGCCGGCGCACCGCGCTGATCCGATGGCAGGAGCCAGGAGCCAGGTGCTTTTCCTGGTCTCCCATGGGGTGCAGGGCCCAAGCACCTGGGCCATCCTCCACTGCACTCCCTGGCCACAGCAGAGGGCTGGCCTGGAAGAGGGGCAACCGGGACAGAATCCGGCGCCCCCACTGGGACTAGAACCCGGTGTGCCGGCGCCGCTAGGCGGAGGATTAGCCTAGTGAGCCGCGGCGCCGGCCTATGCAGCTTTTTAAAAGTATGATTAGGCTGGCTCCGCGGCTCAATAGGTTAATCCACCTAGCGGCGCCGGCACACCAGGTTCTAGTCCCGGTCGGGGCGCCGGATTCTGTCCCGGTTGCCCCCTCTTCCAGGCCAGCTCTCTGCTATGGCCCGGGAGTTCAGTGGAGGTTGGCCCAAGTGCTTGGGCCCTGCACCCCATGGGAGACCAGGATAAGCACCTGGCTTCTGCCTTCGGATCAGCGCAGTGCGCTGGCCGCAGCGCACAGGCCGCGGCAGCCATTGGAGGGTGAACCAACGGCAAAAGGAAGACCTTTCTCTCTCTCGCTCTCTCTCACTGTCCACTCTGTCAAAAAATAAAAAATAAAAAAAAATAAAAAATAAAAGTATGATTAACAAAATCACACAGTTACAGTATGTTCTGATATATGTACACATTGTGAAATGAGTACTACAGCCAGGATAACTGACGCATCCATCACCTCGTGTCCGAGAATACTTAATTCAATTCTGTTAGCAACCTTCAAGGGAGCGACATGTTATTAGCTAGTCCCCACCCTGTGTCACTCCTGCAGACTCCAGATGACTGAACATCTACACCTCTCACTGTATCCTCCTGAGTCTCCCGCCCCACCTTACGTGGGAATTTTTGAGGTACTAATAAGTTAAGATTTTATCCAACCAAATGTATCCATCTTTTTCTCACAGCTTCTGGGTTTTATCAGATCTCAACGTGATAAACTCGTTTTTGGGGGGGTTCCAACTTGGGGAACTCACACCCCGGCACTGGGACATGAGATGCAGGCATCCCCAGTGGCAGCTTAACCCAGCGCACAAGGCCCACCCTGGGTTCTGTGCTTTTCCGCCCAAGTTCCCTCACACCACACTCCGTTGTCTCCTTCCAGGCTTCTCTCAGGAACCTGAAAGGCATCCAACCCCTCTGCCGATCCCTAGCCACACCAGCAAGAGAGGATGAAAGACAAAACAACTGAAATGGAATCGCTCTAAAGCATGCATTCTCAAGGGAGCCAGAAGTGAAAACTGGTCGGAAAGCGTGAAGGCATCTGATGTGACGATCGTCTGGGCCTGGCAATGGGTCACAGTATATAAACAGATATGCAGGTTATCAGGTACCAAAAGCCAATGGCGGTGTGGGGTGACGATTAGTAAGAAAGGTCTACAAAAGGCTGCTTTTCAGGGTAATAATGAAATAAAGGTTGAGAAAACGATACTGTAAATGCATTTACTAACATGTGTAAGATATTACTACTACTGAAAACTAAACAAATGTAAACTGGGACCATAATGAAGACTTTGAAATCACAAAATGTCAACAGTCCAATAATGGCAAGTGCTGGTGGGGGTATATGCACTGTTAATGTGGGTGGAAACTAATGGGTCCACTCAAGCCAGCAACACAAGCACAAACAGGACAACATCTCAGAAACTACCCGGAAGAATAGAGGCATCCCATGCATGCCAGCCAGCCATCCCTCTCCTGGCAGCACAGCCTAGAGAAATCCTTACATGTGACAAAAGATGGTTAAAAAGCCATAATATTGTTCATAATTATAAACAAAGAGACCTAAAAGTAATCCAAATGCCTACAAAGAAAGGATAGCTTACAATATATTTTAAGCAGCAATGAAAACAAATGATACCAAACAACTTGAATAAATACTGAACAAAAAAAGTTGTTGAAGGCTATCTATACTATGAAATCATTTTTATAAAACTCAAAAACACAATAAAAGAAATAAAACCTAACAAAAATATTACTAAAAGGAAAAATACAAAATTTAAGGAAGCAATGAAGTGGTAGCTACAAAGACACAAAAAGGCATTACTGCTAGGGCAGGTGTCTGGGCTAACAGTTACCCACCCTGGTTAAGATACTGGCATGGGGGCAGGCGCCGCGGCTCACTAGGCTAATCCTCCGCCTTGCGGCGCCGGCACACCGGGTTCTAGTCCCGGTCGGGGCGCCGGATTCTGTCCCGGTTGCCCCTCTTCCAGGCCAGCTCTCTGCTGTGGCCAGGGAGTGCAGTGGAGGATGGCCCAAGTACTTGGGCCCTGCACCCCATGGGAGACCAGGATAAGTACCTGGCTCCTGCCATCGGATCAGTGTGGTGTGCTGGTCACAGCACGCTGGCCATGGCGGCCATTGGAGGGTGAACCAACGGCAAAAGGAAGACCTTTCTCTCTGTCTCTCTCTCTCACTGTCCACTCTGCCTGTCAAAAAAAAAAAAGATACTGGCATGGGGGCCAGTGATGTAGTAGGCTAAGACTCTGCCTGTGGCGGTGGCATGCCAGTGTCGCTCCCCCTCTTCGTGGAGGAACGACACAGGACCCTGCGCTGTTCTTTTGTCTGCTCGGCCCTCCCCGGGTTTGCTGCTGGTTCTTCCCGGGTTGGCTACTGTCCCTTCCACCTCCGTGGAAGGGCGGTTCCCCCTGGCCACTTTCCCCACTTCCGCAGGGGAGCGGCACACCGCCGGCCGGCTCTCTCGGGGGCTGCACAGGTGTTCCCCTTAGATGTTCCCCTTAGATGTTCCTGGTGCATGCCGTTTCTCTCCTCCTTTATAGTCCTCCTCCGCCAATCCCAACTCGGCTGCCCACATGCTGAGTACGCTGCTCTCCTCCAATCAGGAGCAAGTCCTACAGTTTATTGGCTGAACTGGAGGCAGCTGTGTAGAAGCTATTTTCTCCTCTCCCAGCGCCATATTGTGGGAGAGCAGATGCATAGAATAAGTCTTAATTCCAGTAACTTAGTCTAGTCTGAGTTGCTCCCCACATGCCAGTTGAGTCCCCACTGCTCCTCTTCTAATCTATCTCTGCTATGGTCTAGGAAAACAGGATATGGCCTAAGTGCTTGGGCCCATGCACCCATGAGGGAGACCAGGAAGAAGGCTCCTGGCTCCTGGCTTCAGATCGGCCCAGCTATGGCCATTATGGCCATCTGGGGAGTGAACCAGTGGATGGCACACCTTTCTATCTCTCCCTGTCTGTAACTCTACTTCTCAAATAAAAACTATTAAGTAAATCTTAAAAAAAAAAAAAAAAAAAAAAGACGCTGGCATGGATTGGTGGGTGGAGAAGAAAAATGTGGTACAACAGCTGAGATGTCACTTGGGACCTGGTATCCCTTCTCAGAGTGCCTCGGTCTGGGGCCCCAGTTCTGCTTCGGACTCCATCTCCTGCCAACGCACACCCTGGAAGGCGGCAGTAGTAGCTCAAGTGCGTGGGTCCCCTTTCTCACCTAGCGGACCTGGACTGACTTCCCAGCTCCCTGCTCGGGCCTCTGCTCAGCCCCAACCACAATGAACATGTGGGGAATGAACCAGCAGATGGCAGTTCTGTCTCTCTGCCTCTCAAATAAATGGCAAAAAAAAGCGGGAGGAACAGAAAATGGTATTGGCCTGTTCTAGCTCCCAGCTAGAGGGGAGGACGACAAGTGTCCATGTCACCATCTGGCTTCACAACTTACACCTGTTACATGAGTCTGGCTAGTTCAGTATTTGGTTCTTCACAGTAAGGATGAACTCAACACCAAATAAAACTTACATCCAACTCAAAAAACAGCTCTCTCTCTTTACTGGCAATCTCATAATCTGCTCGGAGGGCCAGGTCGTGGATTTTGGTGCATTCTCCTAAGTCCATGCGCTGTGGGAAAAGAAACAAAAATGACACATGAACACCAACCATACAAAGCATGCGACAGATTGTTTAAATACTGAGACTATGGTAAGAAAACCAAACAGGTTTTTACCCAGCATGACTGCATGACACATGGGAGTGATGTACCTGAGAGTGAGAAGGCTTGGGCCTCTCAGATCGAGAGATAACTGGATCATAGCCATGGAAACGACATGAACAGCTTTTGCCAGTCTTGCGTTTGGATAGGTCTCAGCATTCAGTAACCACCAGCAGGGAGGTGCAACTGGCAAGAGGGCCAGAAAACAGCAGCACCGCCAGGGGTGTCCAGGAAGTGCTTCCTGCAACCCTGACTGCTCCAGGTGTTCCGTGCCCCAGGTGCAGACAAGGCCAAGAGCAAGCAGAAACCGCGGTTCTGGCAATGATCATCCAACCTAACACCTCTCTCTGTGTAGCTCTCTCAACACTACAGGGAACAAATGAGACCAGAGCTGTGGGGCAGCAGGTAAAGCCCCAGCCTGGCTCAGCACAGGCTGCTGCAGCCATCTGGGGAGCAAACAGTACATAGGAGATTTTTCTTTAACTCTTCCTTCAAATAAACAGGGGCCAAAATTGTGGCATAGTGAGTAAAGCCCTGCCTGTGACGCCAGCATCCCATATGAGTGCTGGTTCAAGTCCTGGCTGCTCCACTTGCGATCCAGCTCCCTGCTAATGCGCCTGGGAAAGCCATGGAGGGTGGCTCAAGTGCTTGGGCCACTGCACCCATGTGGGAGACCCATGAGAAAGCTCCTGGCTTTCAAATAAATAAATCTTTAAAACAAAATGATCTGCATTATAAGATTAGCTTGATATGTTACTATGTGCTCCAACCACAGGCAGAACAATCAGACAACACAGCTCATCTCTTATCTACACCCCGAGTACATACCTCCTACCTCTGGCCATGTAAACAGCACTAAGGAAGTTACAGATCATCTATTTATAAAACCCAACAACCCAAGCAGGTGACCCCTTGATCAGACAAAAGCACAGCTACACAACTAACAAAAATATACGAAAAACCAAAGTCACATTGGAGTGGATCCGGAAGCTCCTTTAAGCTACATTTCAAAGACTTAATGAGTCACAAAAATCCTTAGTATGGAGAGCTCTGGAGTGCCTGGCCCTTGAGCCATACAGGAAGTATGTGTCACACTCACTAACAAAGTATCTTTTTGGATCACCAGCAAAACAGCCAACAAGGGGCTGGGCAAACAACTGCTGCATTGTAGAGATTAAATTTCACTTAAAATCAACTTTTGGGGCCAGCACTGTATTGTAGTAGGTAAAGCTGCCACCTGCAGTGCTGGCATCCCATATGGGCACCAGTGCAAGTCCCAGCTGCTGCACTTCCCATCCAGCTCTCTGCTCTGGCCTGGGAAAGGAGTGGAAGATGGCCCAAGTCCTTGGGCCCCTGCACCCACATGGGAGACCTGGAGGAAGTTCTTGGCTTCAGATCCGCGCAGCTCCGGCATTTGTGGCCAACTGGGGAGTGAACCATTGGATGGAAGACCTCCCTCCCTCCCTCCCTCCCTGTCTCTCTCTCTCTAACTCTTTCAAGTAAATAAAAAAACTTTAAAAAACAAAAATCAGTCGGCACCGCGGCTCACTAGGCTAATCCTCCGCCCGTGACGCCGGCACACGGGGTTCTAGTCCCGGTTGGGGCACCGGATTCTGTCCCAGTTGCCCCTCTTCCAGTCCAGCTCTCTGCTGTGGCCCAGGAGGGCAGTGGAGGATGGCCCAAGTGCTTGGGCCCCTGTACCCGCGTGGAGACCAGGAGGAAGCACCTGGCTCCTGGCTTTGGATCGGCACAGTGCCGGCCGTAGTGGCCATTTGGGGGGTGAACGAACGGAAGGAAGACCTTTCTCTCTCTCTCTCTCTCACTGGCTAACTCTGCCTGTCAAAAAAAAAAAAAAAAAAAAAAAAAAAAAAAAAAAAAAAAAGACAAGAGAATCAACCTGAAAAACCTTCTCTGTCTACACAACGCCCATGTGTGAGTGTTCCCCAAAATGCACCTACCGTCCCAGCCAGGATGTCATGGGGGCAGCAGTCCAGGAGGTGGCTCTTGCAGACACGGTCATCTGTAAACTTGACTCTCTGTCTGGTTTCGTCTCCTGAAATTCATTTGTGGTTGTAAATAAGACAGTGTTACCAAACTAACCACAAGGGTCTCTGGTGCCACAATTCACCTGGTGGTCTGCAGACTATCATGTCTGTGTTCTCCCCAACAAATACACTGACAGGCTCATCTAGAGATATTTACTTCTGGAGCAGAACACACATTTTTCTCTGAGGCTGAGCGTTTCATGAAGAATCACAATGAGATCTGACTCCATCGCTGTGCCAAAGAAGTCAAGGAGTCAGAAGGGAAGGCTGACCACCGAAAGCCCCGTCAGCCTGCATTTACACGTGGGCACTGCGGCACCAAACCCATGCTAGTCAGAGTGCCACGAACCACCAAGTAGGACTGACAGCTGGTAATCTCCACAAACAAAAGCTACTTATTCGACTTATCTTTCTGTTTCGGGAAAAACGCACGGGCAGTGTGCTGCCCCAAATTACATGAAGAACAAAGCTTTCAAACTCTTATCGCTGTTAATAACCTGGACCTGTTTTTCCTACCCCCTTGCATCCCCACCCGCAGGAGAGCTGGCACCTGGGAGTCACTTTTAGCAAGACAATACCGAAGAGAGCGAGAGGGGACGAGGTCAGTCAATACACACTGCGAGCTCCAACACACACTGTCCCATCTGCATTCTTCAAGCCCTCAGCTGCAGAATTTTATGCCCGCTGCTGAGAAGTTTTAAGGGGAAAGTGTTCTTGCCCACACCTGCAGTGAGGAAGTCGGGGGAACGATACAAGGTAAAGGCAAAGTGGCACGTGACAGATTTTAAAGCTGACCTGTGTACACGCACAGAGCTGTGCAACGCTAGAGGAGGAATATATTTTAGGATTTGCAAGCATCCAGAATTAATGTAGTGTCTTTACTGAAAATGTTTTCTTTCTAAACTACACTTTTAAAGTTACTTGTGAAAAAAGCAAACACTTTTTTGTTATAACAGCTTAGAAATTGGTTGTGACTCACGGCTCGATGAACATGAGGCTTTTCTGCAACTCCCTTGCAGATTGATGTAGGCAGGCAAAGATACACTGAACCTTTATAAATAAAATAGAGGGGCCACAATTGTTCAGTTTGTATGAAATAAAAATATGGGAAGCAATTCAAAAGCAACTCAACATACAAAGAAAGCTACAAGCGCTACTTCTCCTACGAAGTCCAGTGCGAGGAGTCTGCCCTGCCCTGCCGACCTGCCAGTGTGGCCTTTACAACCTCATCACCGGTCGAGAAGAGCACGCCAACCACAGCGGTGCGCAACAGCACGAAGCGCCCGCCTTCTCCAGAGACAAGCACCAGGCCCCTGCGCTCCGCCCTACGTACGACCTAGCCGACGACTGCCGAGCGCGGGCCCGGGAGTACCCGCAGGAGCCCCGCCACGGCAGCCCCCGGGGCCGGGCCCCCGAGCGCCCGGCTGCTACCCCCCGGAACAGCCCGAGGCGCGGCTCCCTCAGCGACGGCGCACGACGAGGACGGCCCGGGCCGCGGCGCCGCCCCGCAGCGGGGCCCGGCCGCCGGCGCGGACTCCCAGGGCGCAGACAAAGGCCCGGCGCCCGCGGTCGGCGCGCGGGGGAGGGGAGCGGCGCAGGCGCAGACGATCGAGGCCCCCGCCTCAGGCCGCTCGGCGGCCTCGCCTCTCTCCCGCCCAGCCCCTCGCCGGGCCGGCCGCCCCGACTCACCGTCCCGCGCCGTGCCCATGAGCTGGTCCAGCAGAGCCCGCATCTGCGCCTGGGCGGACATGGTGGCCGGCAGAGGCGGCGGAAGCAGCCGCGACAGGTCCTCTCAGGAGGGGGGTCCGCGGCGGCAGCGGCGGCGGCGGCGGCGGCGACGAGTCGCGTCGGCCTCGAGACGGCCGGCTCCTGTCGCCCGCGCGGCACGCCGGGAGGAAGTGCGTCGCGCCCGCGCACGGCCTGCCGGGAACTGTAGTTTCCCTCCGAGCGCCCGGGGAGCCCGAGGCTGCGGCCGGTCAGCGGGGCGGCCCAAGGGGCGGAGCCAGGCCCCAGCCCCCGCTTTACGGCGACCTGCAAGCCCTAGGGAGACGAGGGTTTATAAGTCAGATAGGAACGGGAAGATGAAGCTCGTGCTGCTCGTCGCCGTCCTGAGCCCACGCGGACCCCACAGGTGCCTCCCGCGGTGCGGGGTTCGGAGGCTCGTCCATGGCCCGCGGACACTGCTGCCGCCACAGTGCGCGTGTGTCCCGTGTCCACTCCGAGGCCGCAACCCTGACCCGGGCTGTCTCATCGTGGACCTTCCGGGAGGGTCTCCCCGCCTCAGGGCCAGCCCCCGCCCCGAACTTCTGTCCGGAGCCCGCTCGGCACTGAGGATTCTGGCCCCGCTGGGCAGTCGGGCTCTGCGAAGGCTCTGGTGCTGGAAGGTCCGAGGCCGGCGGTGTAGAGGAAGCGTCGCGGGCCAGGGCCGCGGAGCCGCCGGGAACAGCGCTGGCCCTGCCTGCCTCGTAGCCCTCGCCCGGGAGAGTGGGCCCCTGCCCCTGGGTGCAGACGCGGGCACAGCGGGTCGCAGGCGTAGAGGCCCCGCTCCGACTCCGTGGAACCTGGTCCCCAGGTCTCGCCGTCGGGGTTTCTGGATGTGGCAAAGCCGGGCACAAACGTGGGAAATGCCTGGGAGCCAGGAACGCCTGGCGCCAGGGCCAAGCGGTCAAACAGCCGCGGGAAAGGACGCGGCACGGAGCTGCCCCAGACGCGCGGGCGGGCAGGGAGCTGCCCAGGCGTGAGCACGACTTGCAGTCACCCCGTCCTTGAACACAGTCCACAAGCGGTAATTGGATGTTATAGTTTCAAGAATCCAACAAGATTCAAAACCATCCAAACTCTGAGACCAGGTGTAAATTCTGTTTTAAGACACGACTTTGTTTCCAAATGGACATTCGAACAAACGCATTTAAACAACGGAATTAGGTATCTACTACATTGTCAAAATTCTTTTTTTTTTATTTTTTATTTTTATTTTTGACAGGCAGAGTGGACAGTGAGAGAGAGAGACAGAGAGAGAAAGGTCTTCCTTTTGCCGTTGGTTCACCCTCCAATGGCCGCAGCTGCAGCCGGCGCACCGCGCTGATCCGATGGCAGGAGCCAGGATCCAGGTGCTTTTCCTGGTCTCCCATGGGGTGCAGGGCCCAAGTACTTGGGCCATCCTCCACTGCACTCCCGGGCCACAGCAGAGAGCTGGCCTGGAAGAGGGGCAACCGGGACAGAATCCGGCGCCCCGACCGGGACTAGAACCCGGTGTGCCGGCGCCGCAAGGTGGAGGATTAGCCTATTGAGCCACGGCGCCAGCCTCATTGTCAAAATTCTTAAAAATCGTAGGGGCTGGTGTGGCACAGTCGGTTAAGCTGCTGCCTGCAACTCCAGCAACCTGTAAGAGCAGGTTCCAGTCCCGGCTGCTCCACTTCCAATCTGGCTCCCTGCTAATGCACCTGGCAAAGCAGAGGAAGACGGTCCACACACTTGGGCCCCTGCCACCCACGCTGGAGACCCAGACGAAATTCCTGGCTCCTGGCCCCAACCCTAACCCCAACCATTGCAACTACCTGAGGAGTGAACCAGCAGCAGATGGGAGATCTGTCTGTCTCTGTGTAACTCTGCCTTTCACATAAGGACATAAATCTTTCTAAAAAATTATTTTAAAATCTTACAACCAAGTACTGGTGAGAGTTTAGGGAAATACGCATTCTAATGCGTTATCGGGCATGGGCATGTGGCCCAGAGTTGAGGTGAAAGGTAAGACACACGCCTCACACACTGGAGTACTGGGTGTGATATCCAGCTCTTAACTCCAGCTTCCTGCTAATGCAGGAGACGGCAGTAATGGCCCAAGAAACCGGGCTCCTGCTACACTTGTGGAAGAAGTGGATTGAGTTGCTGGCTTCCAGCCTTGGCCAGGCCATTGCAGGCATTTGGGAAACGAACAAGTACCTGGGAATGCTCTTTCTCACTGCCTGTTGTCTCTGCCTCTTAAAAAAGTGGAATAACTCATACGCTAAATAAAACATGGTTATAAAGGAATAGTATTGAAGAGATTACACGTTCAAACTTGCAAGGGTACACCAAAAATGATAGTTAAAGGACAACATAGTTTTTTAAAAAATATTTATTTATTTATTTGACAGGTAGAGTTTACAGACAGTGAGAGGGAGACAGAGAGAGAGGTCTTCCATCTGCTGGTTCACTCCCCAGATGGCCGCAACAGCCGGAGCTGCACTGATCCAAAGCCAGGAGCCAGGAGCTTCTTCCAGTCTCCCACGCGGGTGCAGGGGCCCAAGGACTTGGGCATCTTCCACTGATCTCCCAGGCCACAGCAGAGAGTTGGATCAGAAGAGGGGCAGCTGGGACTCGAAGCGGTGCCCATATGGGATGCCGGCACCTCAGGAGGAGGATTGACCTACTGCGCCTTGGCGCCAGCCCCAACATATAGTTTTTAATGCTTAAAATATTTTAAAAGAATTCTAGTTGAGGAGTTAGAAAACAGTATAACTACATAGAACATAAAGGAGATAAAAAGAAGTCAATATAATAGGAAATAAACATACCCTAGAAAATATCAGCTGACTCCAAGGTGGGCTCTTTTTTTAGTTATTCATTTGAAACCAGAGTAACAAAGAGGGAGAGACAGAGCTTGTCCGCTGGCTCACTCCCCAGATGTCTGAGCCAGGAGCTGGGAGATTCTTCCAGGTCTCCCACATGAGCGCTGCGGGCTGTGCACATGGGCCATCCTCCACTGCTTTCCCAGGTGCATCAGCAGGGGGCTGGATCAGAGGTGGAGCAGCCAGTCTCAAACTGGAGCCCGTACAGGACGCAGCATCGCAGATGGGATGCCAGTGTCACAGGTGGCAGCTCACCTGCTGTGCCACAATGCTGGTTCCCCAAAGGCGGACTGTTTCTTTTTTAAGAGTTATTTTAGGGTCCTGCGCGGTGGCGGTAGGTTAAGCCTCCGCCTGCGGCACTGGCATCCCACACAGGTGCTGGTTCGAGTCCTGGCTGCTCGGCTTCCGATCCAGCTCCCTGCTGGCGCGGGGAAACCTGCACCACGTCGTCGCTGGGAAGCACTTGTCAGAGGGCGCCCACCTCGTGTGATTGCTGGGAAGGCGCTGGCGGTGCTGGTCGCGCCTGACTTTAGTCCCGAGCCCCTCCGCAGGGGGTGGCTCAGGGCATGTGTCACCCACGGAGGAAGCCTGCATGAGCCTGGTCCTGCCCGAGCTGTTGCGGGCACCTGGGGAGTGGTGCTCTCTCTGTCGCTCTGCCTTTGAAAGAAAAAGCGGGCGCGGGCAGCAGAGCGGGGGCTGGAACACAGGCTCTCTGAATGGGAGGCGGCGGTGCCGGACGTTAGGGTCTCAGGAAGTCAGTGCTGCGGCGCGCCAGCTGGACCCCCAGGCAGAGCAGGCTGCGTGGACGTGCGCAGGCGGCCGGTCGCACACACGCGGGGGAGCCCAGTCCCGCGCCATCTTTCAGGTCCGCGAGTCTACCCGAGGTCACAGGGGAGCGAGGCGGGAGGCGCCGCGGGAGCCGTTCTGGGGACCGGGGAGGCCAGCGGCCTGCCACAGGCCAGCGGCGAGCGGCCAGAGGGCACGGACACGCGCCGCGTTGCTCGGCAACCAGGCGGGGCCCGAGGGGCGGGGCCTCGGGGTGGGCGGGGGCCCGAGGGGGCGGGCCTGAGAGGCGGGGCGGGGCCTCTGGGCCCGCTTCCGGCCCCCCCGCTCTGGCCGGCCGGAAGTGACGCGGGGGCGGGGCCTGCGGAGCCGGCGTCTGCCTGGCTGCCGGGCGAGCGGACGGCGCGGCAGGTGAGTGAGGGCGACCCCGCGGGGCTCGCGGGCCCGCCTGTCCGTCAGTCCGTCAGTCCTGGGGCGCCGTCTCCCCGCCTCGGCTACCACGGCTCCTCGACGGTCCCCGCCGGTCCCCTCAGCGCTTGAGTCCACCGCGCCGAGGACGGGGGTGCGGTCGGCGGGCTGCGGTGGGAGCCGACGCCCCCGAAGGGGTTCTCCCGGCCTCCCCCGTCCCCGCGGCCTGGGCTTCAGTGCAGTTCAAGCCCCCGTTTTCCTCAGAGGCACGGGAACCCTCATGCCCGGAGGACCGGCCAGGCGGGCGCCGCTGCGATGGCCCGAGTGGCCTGTGCGGCTGCTGTGGGCGCGTCGGCCGGCAGGTCACTCGCGGAGCCCGCCTTGGTGGGCCGCCGACAGGCGGGGCGCGCCGCAGGCGGGCGGCTTGGGTGCTGGGTGCTCCCGGAGGCGTGCGGCGCGGGAGCGGAGCCTCGCGGCCCCGAGCGCACGTGCGGCGGCCAGGCACACGGCCGGGACGGGACCGACCTAGTTCACGATCGGCTCTAGCTGTGGAGAGCGAGAGCGCGCGCGCGCTTTGATCTGCCTGGAACAGCCAGGGCTGGCCAGCCCAAAGCCAGGTCTCCAGTCGGTTTCCCAGGAGGGCGCCGGGACCGGAGCGTGGGCCACGTGCGTTAGTGGAAGGCTGGAGCTCTGACATGGGCGCTCCCACGCGGGATGCATCGCCACACCCCGCCCCGAGGCTCTCCTTCCGTTCTCCCTGCTAGTCTTGTCTGCGGCTGTGCGCCAGCTTAACACGGTTTAACGGGCCGCAGCCACAAGCGTTACCTGCAGTGTCTGTGGCTCCCGTGGCCCAGCGTCTCGCCTGGGGCTGCCGGGTCCCGTTGCAGGAGGCTGGTGCACAGTCTTCATTGTCTGCTTTGGCGGCCTCCTTGGGTCTCCCGTCCGGCCTCTCCACACAGTGTGCCC